GAAGTGTCCAGAAAGAGTCTTCTTTCACTTTTCACAGTAAACCGTGTTGTTACAAACTCAAGTATTTGCAAAACAGAACATCATTTTTCTTTCATCCTGTATGGTCACTGTATTAAGAATCCAATTCTGACGTACCTGTAATGAGATAGAATCAAAGTAGTTAAGTGCAGCCATAACTACCAGCCAAAAATTAATGTCTCCATCTTTTAATGTTCTGAGTAAGATAAACTTGAGAAGAACCTATAGCCTGGATTCTTGTCAGAGAAGCTCCCAACAATAAACACTGATGTGCTCACAAGCACTAAGAAAAAGTAGTTCATTTGGTATGTTTTCAGAGTTAGAAACCTGCCTTTAAAAGGTACATGTGCTACAACCAAGAGAGCTTTTTAACATGCAGGCACTACAAAATTAAGTCAAACAAGGATTGCTCTCACTAGGCTGCTCCATAATCCCAAACTGGGGTCTGGGAACTGCCAGAAAATACAGCCATTGGTGGTAAAAGGAAGTGAGGTGGCAAGAGCTCCTGAGCTGGCATCACTGGATTCTTCTTGCTATATATGTGCATGCATTCCACAGTGATATCTACTGTACCCTCCCTATCAACTGCTCCCAGAGTTTCCTTTCCACCCTTTAAGAAAATACTGATATATTTAAACTTGTTTTTAAGATTTAATGTACCATATTAGAGAACATTAAGCAAAGGCATTTTATTAGTGTATTTTTGTCTTGCTTGCTGTTCCTCTACACTCATGTTCATCCAATGAAAAAACAGTTAAAATATCAATTCACATTTACTCCCCACAGTACCAGCAAGCTAAACTGACAGCAGACAGGATGAAGTAGAGACCTGAAGGGAATATAAAAACTTCAGGCTCAGATAACTTCCTTGTAAGCCCAGGTAACACATCCTTACCCCTTGCAGTGGACCTTTCACCCCTGATCTCTAAGTGACTGGGGAACCAGCATCTCTACCTGAAACGGTCTGCAGAAAGTTTCCGGGAAGGCATTTACCAGATGCATGTGATTTACCACAGACTTCTATATAATTTTAAATTGTAATTAATTCTAATATTAAAATGAAATCAATAGGAAACGTTGGATGTTTTGAAGCTTATAAACACATATATTAAAAATAGGTAATTTATATCTACTTAAAAAACTATCTCTAAAGTGTTCTACTTACAAAATATACACTAACAGGACAAAAAATTCTTTAAAATCACTTGCAATCAGTTGAAACACAATAAGCATTTTCAAGGCTGCATTACAAACTACAGTGAGCCACGAAGTCTTCCACCAAGAAGAAAACGTGGGCACCCACTACTCCCCATGTATAGAAAGTATTAAAGATTTAAGTAGCTAAGAGTGAAGTGAGCTGCTTGCGCGATATAGGGTGTTTTTAACCCGTTTGCCAGAATCCCGTTTCCGTGAGCCATGCCGTGGGGCTATCCCTGTCACACGGGTATAAGCAGCGGCCTACCTCATGTTCTGACTCTGCCGGATTCCCGCGGAAAGCCCGCCTGGGGGCCGCCTCCTCTTTCCCCGCGGCGAGAGTTTGACCCAGAAGCGCTTCAGAAGGAGTGGGGAAAGGGGCTGGGGCCGCTACGCAGGCCTCACGGCCACAGCCCCCTGCCCGCCACCCGCACGCAGGAGCCAAACCGCAGCGTCTGGCTCGCTTCTCTCCACTGCTCCTCCGCTCCTTCGGCCACGTTTGCCTAACGGCGGCTGCACTCCTCCAGGCCCTGGGAGGAAGAGGGCACTGTCATGTTCGGGGCGAGGAAGCTCCGAGCCCGGCCCCCCAGCACTGCCTCGCTCAGCCGCGGCAGGGCCTGCCCTTCCCGCCGTGCGGGGGAAAAGGGGTCCTGGGCCACAAGTCCCTCAGCCACTGCCGCACAACACGGTGGGGGCGGCACTACCCGGGCCGAGCGGCAGCCCGCCTTCTCATCACGCGCTGCACAGAGGTGGAGGCGACCTCTGAGGGGCGGCCCGGCGGCGGGCACGGCCCAGCTCTCGGCAGGCCATAGCGCAGCACACCCCGGGGAGCGACGGGTCTGCCCGCGCTGGCGCAAGCGAGGGCTACGGAAATGGCCACGTCCAGCTCCCGGCAGGGATAAATAGGAAAACGAAGGAGTCGGTTTCGTCTACGCAACTTTGAGGCCTCCCTGCACCCGCATGAGAGTCCTTAGCTTAACTTTTTCACAAGACCCTCCCTGTATTCAAGCCACATCTGGATATTGCTCTCTCAAAACAAGCTTTCCGTGTGCCTCTGCACTGTTACTCACCATGTGCATGCCCCAAGATCAGCATCTCCCGTGAGCTGAGATGTCAGGAAAGGCAGGGAGAAAGGGAAAAGTCCAGCCAGTTAGACCTTCCAAAGGAAATAAAAATAATAATAAAAAAGTTCCAAGGTCATCTTGATTATTGTGGTCATATTGATAAAACCAAAGATTTGTGATTTTTCTGCCTATGTTGTATACATATAGCTCCAGCTAATTTCTGGACCTTATGTCACCACTAACTGTTATCTAAACACTTAATAACTGAAAATCAAGTAGGTATAAATCATTCCACAGAAAATAATAAAGCAGTATATTGGTAAGTTTCAGTGTAGCAGATGAAAATAGTTAAATAAGAATCCATCTGATTTCCTTTCTCATCATAATAACCTTTCAAAAACTTGAGTCTACCCACTTTTTCAGTTCCTACAACATCACTGCTTTCCCACACATACACCTTCTTCTTGTTATTATCATAACAAGTATATTTAGACAGAATGATAAGAACCTCAGGTTATTCTACAATCACAGCTAGGACTACTACCATGACCAATTTTTACTTGCTGTTTTGCAGCTGACTATCAAAGGTTTGGAGTTGTTTTACTTTTTGTCTATTGTTGATCATATGTGTACCTCATATATTGGATGCTTATGAATATGGAACTCACTCAAGCTAATATTATAGCCCCTACTTAATTTACTAAGGTCTGTAATGTTTTAGGAAAAACAGCACATAAAAATTTTAACTAGATTTGTAACAAATTTTCTAACTCTAAAGTAACTGGAACAGCTCCTGTATCTTTCTGCTAGTAAATCCATATAACCTCACAGTCTACACAGGCGTGCAAGTGAGAGAATGAGACCCAGACCCTGCCCAGCGATCTCAAAAGGTGGCGCTTACCTCTCTCAAGAGCCTCAGGCTTAGCGCAGACTCACATAAAAACTCCGAGGCGTCTGATCTCCCACTCAAGAGGAAAACTATTCCACATTCAGATGAAGGAGACTTCTGCAAATCATACAGATTTTTCATTTACAAGATGCTGAACTTTCCACTTCTGACTTATCAAGTACATTTGGATGAAACCAGTTAATAATCTGCAAAACAGATTTAAAAAGCTAGATAAAATGACCTTAAATTTTAACATGCAGGGGAAGAAAACCAGATTTATTAAAGCATGCTGTGCTGAAGTCAGTGTTCATTTTCTAAACGCAAGTCCAGTCAGCAGCTTCTTCAGGACTTCAGAACTCAAGGAAGTCCATTTTATTTTATTTATTTTATTTTCCCCCCAGAAACTCAGGAGAAAACTTGCTTTCCTGCTTTCAACAGACTTCTTGACAGCTAGCCATAGAAACATAGAATCACAGAATGGTTAGGGTAAGAAGGGACCTTAAAGCTCGCCTAGTCCCAGCTCCCTGCCCCATGCTGGGGCACCTTCCACTAGACCAGGTTGCTCAAAGCCTCATCCAACCTGGCCTTGAACACTGCCAGGGATGGGGCAGCCACAGCTTCTCTGGACAACCTCTTCAGGGCCTCACTACCCTCACAGTAAAGAATTTCTTCCTAATGTCTGATCTAAATCTACCCTCTGTCAGTTTTAAGCCATTCCCCCTTGTCCTATCACTGCATGCCTTTGTAAAACATCCCTTTCAAGATTTCTTGTAGACCCCTTTAGGTACTGGATGGCTGCTGTCAGGTCTCCCCCAAGACTTCTCCAGGCTGAACAAGGCCAACTCTCAGCCTGTCTTCGTAGGAGAGGACTTCCAACACCTCCTGTTACTTATGATTACTAACCTCAATGCTCACTGGTCTGAATTAAAACCTTTCAAAGGAGGTACATACTTCTGGATAAGTCTTAACTAATTTTGAAGGTGCTCACAGCTTTATGCATTCTCATAAACTTTCATCTCCCTATTCTTAAGGTAAATTGAAATTGAATTTGAATGACAATACAGACGTACAGGACAGGATTACAGGAACTATTTTTTTGCATACAGTTGGTCTAAATTCACATTTTGGTTCTTTACAACCCATAGCACCACATGTGTCAGGTACTGCTGGAGTAACCCTAAGCCCTTCCAGTACTGTCCTGGATGTTTCCTTTAACAATGAAACAGCCAGCAGGTAGAGACCACATCTGGAATACTGTGTCTAGTTCTGGGCTCCTCAGTACAAGAAAGACAAGGAGCTACTGGAGAGAGACCAGAGGAGGCCACAAGGATGATCAGGGGTCTGGAGCATCTCTTATGGGAAGAGATTGCGGGAGCTGGGCCTGTTTAGTCTAGAGAAGAGGAGACTGAGAAGGGATCTCATTAATGCATTTAAATATCTCAAAGGTGGGCACCAGGAGGATGGTGCCTAGTGACAGGAAGAGGAGCAATGGCCATAAACTAAAACACAAGAAGTTTCACCTCAACATGAGGACAACTTCTTTACCTTAAAGGTGGCAGAGCACTAGAACAGGCTGCCAGGGAGGTTCTGAAGTCTCCCTCTCTGGAGACATTCAGAACTCAGCTGGACGCGTGTAACCTGCTCTAGGTGGCCCTGCCTTGGCAGGGTGTTGGACTAGACAACGTCCAGAGGTTCCTTCCAACCCTAACGGCCCTGTGATTCTGTGTATCCCTTGGCCATTTCCACCGCTCTTCGCGGAGCCATCCATCAGTGTCCCGCCAGCAGGGCAGGCCAACGCTAGCTCCGGACACGTTTGCTTGGAGAGCAACCGTGTACCTGCAGACGCAAGGCAGAGGCCTCCAGCCGCTCCAGCGACCCCGGCGCCTTCCCGCGCTGCGCCCGTCCTCGCCTCAGGCGGCGGCGGGCACGGAGCGGCGGGAGGGGGCGGAGCACCTCTGACGAGCAGGAGGAGGCGGGCGCCCCTTCCCGCAACTGCTTCGGCTGTGAGCGGCCCCCGCCTCCTCGCCGGTACCGGCCACGGCTGTACAGTGTCCGGCTATCTCCTTCATCCTTCCCGGGCCGGGGTGCCGTTCCTCACATCTCCGCACCTCGCCACCCAACCCGCCGCACCGCCCCCGGGGTCGCCCCCTCCCGCCCTTTCCTTCCACTGACGCAGTCTTTGCCGCACCAGCTCTAACATGGCGGCGAGGCACTGAGGAGCGCGGGGCGACGCGGGCCGCGAGCGGGGTGAGTGCCGGTGCCGCAGCCAGTCGCTGCAGGGGTCCGGCGCGGTCGCCATGCGGTCGGACGGGAGCCGCGGCCCAGACCGCAGCGCGGGCCCCGGGGAATTTGTGGGGGGAGGTCACATCGCCGCGGGGCCTGAGCCTGGGTCACGGATGGGGGAGGGAGCTCCCACCCCTTCTCTCCCCTCCCCGGCCTGTCGAGGGGACTAGACTGACCGCTGCTCCGCGGCTGTGGGGTAGTTGTGGTAGGCTTCCTGCGCACATACACGCTCCCTCGGCAGGCCCGGCGGCCCGTGTGCGGGGGGCGGGCGAGCCAGCGGCCGGGCCGCGGCCGGCGCTTACCCCGGCGGGAGGCCCCCGGGCATCCCAGGTGAGGGTGGTCCTTGAGAGGAAATGGGGCCGTGAGGAGCTGCGAGTGGGGCCGGGCGGCAGGTGGGAGCAGGAAGGGTGGGTGAAACGGAGCACGGGGCCCAGCCAAAATTGCTCCAGGTGAAAGGGGCCGCGCCGCTGAGAATTGTCGCCGCAGCGCAGCAAGCCGGGGGTCGGCATGGTGCCGGTCTGCCTGCCCACTCCCAGCGCCCGGTCGGCCTTGGGTGCTCCTCGGTGCCTGCTCCGGAGTTTGAATGAGTCCTCACTCCTCCCCTAGAAGGCGAAGTAACCGGGCTGACTGCGCGCCACATGTTCTCCTCCCCTCCGCAGGCCTCTCCTAGGGAAGTGAAGCCTACAGGAGCTACCATGGCTGGCAGGAGGGGTCCTCTGCCTCACTTCTAAGGATTTCCTAAGGCACTTAAGGGGATTTTTATCAGTAAGGAGTTTCAGGCTCAGGTAGTGTGCAGCCACGACCAAACCGTAGTGTATGATTGTACTTTCAGTCATTGAGGAGGCTCTGAAGGAGAGAGGCATAGGAGAAAAAGAAATAGTTTATTGAAACTGGGCAAATTATCTACTGTAGTTGTAAACATTGCCTTACAGTTCAGTCACAATTAGAAAAGTAACTTCATAATGATGATAAAGTTACCTTTGCAAGTAGTTGCCTAATGTTTGGCGAGTTAGTTATATTATAGTAATAGTCTGAGACCTGCTTTAAGAGGAACATGAGACCATATCTTTTGCATTAAATCTGTTTTCTAAGATGTATCTTCTGAGAGAGTGTTTTGTTGGTTTTTTTTTCATGTTTCTGTGCTGTACTGCCTGCAGAAGAGGCTGTTCTTTGGACAGGGATAAATGTTTTTAGTCTGGTTGGGTTTTGTTGTGGTTTTTTTTTAATACATAATTTTTTTAAATCTTTTCCCCCCATCGTGTTTTACTATTCCTATTCATTAATGCATTGGGGTCCAACAGAACCCCTATTTTTAGGTACTACTATGATAAAAACATGGAAGCTACACATGATTTATGAAGGCTTGGTTTATCTCAACTTGCAGAGCTTGTTTTACTGGCTTTTGAAATTATTTATAAAGATTTTTGGAAAAAGTATAATTTCCTGTATATGAAGTAGGCATGAAGGGGAACATACAAAGGATACCAGCATCGGTAGTCCTCTGAGAGCACCCTTTTGCACTATGTGTCTTATTAAGACTTTACATTTTTCCAGTCCTCTTCTGTGAAACAGAAACATTTTTGATTTTTTAAGTTAGCTAAGCAGTCATCAAGCTGTTATCAAAAGAAGATTTATTCCCCCCCCCGCTTATGATCTCAGAAAATCTGTGGATTATGAGGGAATTTGGAGTGAAGAAATATGTACTGCAATGGGGGATTTTACTCTGCTGCAGCATGATGTGTCCACTACCAGTTCAATCCTCCATCCCATGTGCATTTAGGAGCCATTTTCCATTTGGAAGCAGAGTCAGTGAGTGCCAAGGAGCAAATTTAGCCATCTTCTAATGGAATGAGGTTTAGGTAGGAGGCTGGGATGAGGTATGGAAGGGATTTAGAACTAAAGTACTAGAGAAAGGAGAGCATGAGAATAAAAGATGGTAGAATAAGGGGATTTTGTTATGTTTGGCAAATGCAGGTCGGTATTAAGAACTAGCTCCTACTGTTGGTCTTGCATTGCTCTCATCTTCAATAACAGGGGTAGGAAGGGATTCCACTCTGAAATTTAGTTTGGGAGTCCTACTGGTTAAATGGCTTAGAGATTGCATTGGACCCTTTAAAAGCTTTTTTTTTTTTTTTTCATTTTATACAATGCTGAAACATGCTTTTTGTTATCATTTATAAATTTTAAAATATAAATTCATTATTTCAGACCTATGTTAATCCACTTTCTGGTTATGAATGGTAGAATCGGAATGGACATATTTCTTTGCTGCTTCTGGGGGAGCAGTGAACACCAACACAGGCATTTATCTTTGGGAGAAAGCACTTGCATTTGTTCACAAATCTTAACAGGAAAAAAAACTTTCTGCATCAATTAGATAATAAAAAATCATTACTAACTCTTGACAACAGGGCTTTTTGCTTGCAGTTGACAAGAGTGTGCTTACATATTTGAACATCTTTCTCACTGTGGGTGTCTCTTTCCTAGGAAAATAAAACAATGTGCATGATCTAGTAGGAACCTGCATTTCTGTTTAAATAGTTTGAGAGAATGTTACTACCTTCTCAGCTGAATGTTACATTCTCCCAACTGAGATATTATAAATGTCTGTGCATTCCTTATGTACTTCAATACAAGAAGACTAAATTCATGTTAATAATTGCAAAAAATCATACTGATAGTGAAACATGGAGGAAAAGATGGTGGTGTTTGGGGAAAATGCGGAGGAAATGATGGAGATTGAAGGTTGGGCTGGTTGGATTTTTGTTGTTCACCTTTTATTGTATCATCCTAACGTGTCTGAAAACTTGCCACATAGAAATGGAACTAGGAACAAAATTTCATGTCTTCCATTTCACAATCAGAACTTCGTTTCTAGTCTTTATTCTATGGCTCCACTGTCACTGTAAGCTGGTGTGTGTTACTGCCAAATCTTTTCTTGGAGCAGGGAGGAAAGGGTAGTTTCTCTGCAGCTAGGTGGCCATTTGCATGAAAGCCAAACCCATGGATGCATGAGCCCTCCGTTTTGGTATCAGCCCATGTTTATATTGGCTTCAGGTGACTGGAACCCCACAGCCTAAGTGCATGTGATATATTTTTAGTATTCACTTTGTGCATTTTCATTTTCTGGACTCAGTTTTGCTTAAAAATATACTTCTGAAGATTCCAGATGGCTATCTTTGCAATGTAAATCAATGTAGTTTTGTCTCCCTGCGTTTGTCGATGGCCTAAAACAAGATGCTAAGAATGTGAATTTATGCTCTTTATTGTTGATTTCATTTGGATGTTAAATGAAAACCAATGGAGCAGGTTGTAAGTTGATAGAAGGAAACAAATACAAATGTAAGGTCAAGAAGAAATTAAAAATAGGGGGGAGCTGGTGATGACAGAGAAAGAAGTGAAGGAATAGGACACTGTATGTTGGGTTTTTTCCTGCTGAAAACAGCTTTGTTCCGTAATTGTTCTGTCCTGTGCAGGGACTGAAACAACTAGGTAGTACCATGGCCTGTTCAGCATAGCTGCAAGTAATTTTTTTCCCTCCCCTCATAAAATTAGGAAATACTGCTGCTTACCATCAGCCCTTGCGAGAAGTATGACATGTTGATACTTCAGTTGGTGTGCATCTGGGCTCTTTAGCTCCTTTCAATTAAAAGAAGCTGGTTTATATTAAACAGTATTATTACCAGATCCTTGCTAGCACAGGTGACTTTGGAAAAAAAAAAAAATCCCAAGATGTATTTTTAAGCACATCAACACATTTGAGTGATGATCTCTGGCAGAGAGATGCCTGTGAACAGTTTGGGATGGTTATCTTTTTCCATTGGTACAGATTATTTTGAAGGAGAGCAGCTGTCTGCAGCCTGGCTGTGAATTGGCCAGTTTTATCCTGCAAGTATCTGAACAAAGTAATGAAGCTAATGGAGGTGTGAAGGGATGCAAATTGTCATGGACACAGCTAGTGATGCCCCTGCTATGGATGCAGCTTTTCTGAAAAGACTAAATATTGTTGGTGTATTTGTCAATAAACACAAATATGCGCTAAGCTGAACTGGAATTCCACTTTCAGAAATAAAACCAGCAGGCTTCTTTAGTTAGATATACTGAATTGGTGTTTTGGTTGTTTCAGGGTTGTTTTTTTTTTTTTCTGGTTTGGGGGTTTAGTTTTTTGTGTTGTTTTTTTTTTTCCTTTTTTTTTTTTCACATAATTTCCACTTGGACTTAGTAAAAAGGCTTTCCAAACAGCAGGTGGTTGAGCAAGATGAATGGCTTAAACATTTCAGGATAGTACTTAGGTTGATATATTGTCCTTTCTTACAGAGTTTTGGAAGGAAGAAGTGAGCCAACTTCTCAGGATTGCCCTGCAAAGCACATTTTTGTGTGTATGTATAGCAAGCATCTTTTGGGTTGAGTTTAAAAATATTCCCTTCACTGGTAAAATTCCACCAAGTTCACAATTAAAAAATGGAAAGTATTGTGGGTTAAGAGTATCCACATTCTAATTGAAAACAAATTTGAAGAGATAAGTACACAGGTCATGTAAGCCTCCTTGGTACTAGACATGTAGTATTATTGAGCTTTTCTTGTATTTTTCTGACCTTATTTTTGGTATTTTCAAATGTATCTTTGTTGGGTCTGTATTTAACATTCATACCCAATATACTTGCTTTTAATAGAGGCAAGTTTTAAATGATCAGTGTGTACAAGATTGTATTTGGTGTTTAATGCTACATGAATAGAAATTAATAGTTCATGGATCACTTGTAGCTCTGTAGTTTTTTTCTGTAACACTTCAGGTCTGTCTGAAGTAACAACTTCACAAAGGATGTTCAAGTATATTGAAAAAGAAACGCTCATTTGACTTTTAGGTAGGTAGGATAAATATCACTGATATTTTAGCCTGGCTTACTAGGCAATGTCAGCTCAAGAGTTAGGTATATTTACTTGGCCTGGTATTTGACCAGTCAGGGTGTTCATACTGACCCTTTGACATAACTGTCATTTAGAACCAATTGCAGTCAGTGCTCAAGGGATTTTATTGGAGGATTTAGGGAAAGTGCAGGTAACATTTAGAACACGGAATAGGCTTGATTTATTTCATGTTTTTGAGGCAAGAGAGAGGTAGAAAACCATCAAATTGAGCTAAAGGTTGTGAGAATAGGGATTCAGGTAGACTTCTTCATTTATTCCGTCTCTCTCTCACCCAGTTCTCCATAAAACTGAGTTAAAAATTGACTGACATAAGTATACTGACATTTATTTTACAGTTTGGCTTTAGTCATTATCAATGCTTGAAACAAAAAAATTGTGTGATATATAAAGATAGTTTCATTTGTTTTGGCTAAAATACTGTATATAAATGTTAAGGCATACCTCTACATTTCTGAAGCAAATTGCCTGTAAAGTGCGAATTAAATCCTTCCTCACTCAAGCTCTACAGCTAAATGGCTAAAGTTTGGGTACAATTGGTCAATCAGTTGTGGTACTACTTACTGGTTCTTAGATGTCTCAGTTCGGTTAAAACTGTCAGTTCTATCAGCAAACTATTTATTGCAGCATTTATTCTGAGAGGTTTCCTAGGAAAAAAACCCAACCCTGCCCATCTGTGCAGCTGTACAGTCTGTTCTGCTGCTGACAGTATGAGTCGGTGGCTGTCCTTTGGGCTGGTCTCAGTTCTGTGGGCACTTTGTCCCCTCCCACCTTTCTCATCTACTTTCCTTGCCCATGCTGCCACCTTCCTGGAGCTGTCCTAGAGTCTGTGCAGTATAGCATGGTGAGCTGGTCAGCCTTCTGCTAACCTGACAAAGTCCTCAGCTACAGATGTTTTCTCTATTTGTTCCTCTGCCTGGCTTCAAAATTTGTTATACTAATAGAAGAGAAAATGTAATTCAGGGAGAGGAGTGAGCAGACTGAGCCTGCTGCTTTTGATAAGTCTCTGGCTTGTATGAATTAGTGTAATTACATAGCTAAAAAGACATCTAGTGGGATTCTGTGTGTTTGCAAAGTCTCGTCATGCTGCCAAAAATCACGTGAAGTTAGTTTACTGGATGATGTTTAACTTAAATCAGTCCTGCATTGTTCTTGTGATTTTTCATTGTGTAATCTTGGCAAAATGTTAGGAGTGGCACTGAGCACAAGTGAGAGAATGTAGACTAACATGATTACACTGCTGTCTTTTGATTTCTTACAGTCTCTTGTTCCAAAGATGAGAGTGACAGATGGTGACAATTGAATTTTCTGAGACTGTTCTGTGGCACAGATATGAGTGAAGCTTTTGGAGAGATGTATGAAGTGTGTCAGCTAGATTTCAGTAGTGTTTTCTGGCAATAAAAATAATTAGAACTGAAAATTTATGTATTATATTCCAACTTCCGGAAGAGGTACTCCAGTCTTACAGATCCTGTTGCTGTCATTGGGGATTTTTTCCCTCTCTGAAGTAATTCAGAGGGTATGTGGCTTCAGAAAAGGAAAAAAATAGTGTGATTGTGCATAATGTTGGAAGGTCAGAGATACAAATGGGATTAAGATAGTGCTTGCTACATAAAACCAAAGGGATATACTCAAAGAAAAGGGGAAATTGCATTAAAATTCTTGATAAAGAATCATAGAATCATTTAGTTAAAAGACCCTTAAGATCACCGAGTCAATCTGTAAACCTAACATTGTCAAGTCCAGTGCTAAACTATGTCCCTAAGCACCGTGTCTACATATCTTTTAAATACCTCCAGGAATGATGACTCAGATGAGGAAAAGAAATAATAAAAAGCCAAAATAGTTTCACTCAACAGTAGCTGGAAGAGTGTATTTTTAATTTTTTTAAATGTAGAATGGTTTCATTCTCAATTAGAGCAGCTCCTGATAATTGCAGTGATAGGAATCCAGGAAATATATTCTTAAGAAGTTGAATGCTTTAGTCTTAACATAACAATATGTTGGTGGTTTATCAAGTTGTAACAATCATAAGTTATTTTCCAGTCTTAGACCATTCTGTTTGTGGCAAAAGTTTGGGTATTTCTTAAAGTATGCCTACTTGACTTGTGCAGTTGCTACTTGCCTACAACAGTTGAAGTTCACTATCCTGCACTGTTCACTTTTTTGTGCTTGTAGTCAAGCCTTATGTTCTCTCTTGAGCAGCTGTAGTTCATGGCCCAGGTAATTAATAGTAACTGAGATGAACTGAACTGGGTTGTGAACCGCAACAGCTGACTTATTTCTGAGAAGAAGAGGCCTGACCTGAAGCTGGTAACCCTGACCAGAGGGGTGGGTTGGCATGTGGAGATGGCAGCCTCCTCAGCCACTAACACTGAGCCTAACAGAAACTGCAGATTAGTGTTTTTAAAACAGGTAATTGCAAAAAGCTGCTTGAGAGCTCTCAAACAAGCTACTTGGTCTCAAAGCTGCTGGGTTGTTTTTTGTTGGTGTCCCCTCCCCTTTTTTTTTTTTTTTTTTTTTTACTTGCTAATGCTTATTTTATCTAGGATATAGAATTCCAGGAGTAGGCAGTTTAGGTGATTACCTGTACTGTCTCGATAGCAAGATGTCAAGCTTTATTATCGCCGTATTCTAGAGTATCTTTCTGTTTTGTATTTCCTTATCTGAGGTATAGCACTCAAGTTTAATACTATTGCAGCAAACACAATCCAAGTAACTCATTAGGGTCTACAAAACATGGAAATGACCTAGAATACTTCATGTTTTTTGAACCTTTAAAAATACTTAGGTTTGCTCTCTTTTTTTTTTTTTTTTAAGGTTTGCTTTTTGCAGTTTTTGTTGTCTTTGTAAGTCAATGTAGAAGATTTTACACAGTTTCCCTATACAAAAGGAAGAACTAAATTTATTTCTCTTACTCGCAGAATTTAAACTTTTTGAAGCCATGGGAGTAAAGGTCCAGAGGCCTCGTTGCTTTTTTGACATAGCCATCAACAATGTACCTGGTAAGAAAATTAAAACGTCCATTCAGTAGCATGATATTCATACATAAGAATAATACAAGAATTAATTGCATAAAATATATGGCTTTTTTTTTTTCTAGCTGGAAGAGTGGTCTTTGAACTGTTTTCAGATGTGTGTCCAAAGACATGTGAAAATTTTCGCTGCCTTTGCACAGGTTTGTAGATTTTAAATTTATTTGGAATTTTTAATATAATACGATGTTAGCTAGTTTGATGTCTATTATATTTTTCTGACACTTTCTTACATGCAAAGTAAGTCCATAAAACATTGGTTCTTGGTATCTCTCGAGATTTGTCTGATTTCTCAAATACATCTGATGTAGAATCAATGCAGTTGTAGCTTTGGCTTAGTATGTTGCAGGGACTATATACTAATCAACTTTAAATACAGACACAGTAAGCTGATTTTCCGTTACTAGCATAGATATTACTGTTCACATTACATAACATCACCCAGTCTTGAAAGGTAGCCAGTAGGAGGTCAACCATGCAGACTTACTTTTCAGTCTTGTGATCCTTTGAGGTATTTGACAGTATTTGCTGTATTCATTAGTATTTCCCCCCTCGCTTAATTTGTTGATGGAGACTGGTGATATTCACTCCTACTAAAATCCAAATTATTTTTTTGAGCATAATACTGAGAAGATTCTACCCTGAAAGCATTTCCAAACAGAATTACTGTCCTCTGGACTGCATGCTTTTGTTGAAAATACTGACAGTTTAGCAAGACTTAAATTTATTATCGCAAGAATAGTTCTGTGAATACACAAGCATACATGCTTTTTGTTTTGTCTTTAGCATTTTCTGCTTCCTTTCCTTCCAGCTCTGTTGTTTTTCAGGTCAAGTTCTGTAGCTGTTAGTACTGAAATCACTCAGCAGTACTAATATTGCATGAATCAGGTGTGGGTGCATAATTGCATTCATGTCAAGTTAGCTAGAACACCATTAATTAATGCACCATGTGTATCTGCAGGAGTGTAGGTATTACCTGATCTGACATGAGGTTTATGGCACAAAATCAGATTATCAAAATTTGTTAACAAATTTGAACCTTAAAGTGATTCTTCCTCGTATCTCCTAGTATGTTATCATGTGATCATGATATTCTTGATCTGCCCAAAAGTCAGATTTATTGCATAAAGGTGCTACTGCTTTAAATTTTTTACTTGAAGTCTTTCAACAGCATTTTGGATGCGAACTCCTAAATTCATACTTAGTTGCTGACATTCAAAATCAAACACATGCTGAACTACTTTGCTCTTTAATGTATTTAAGAATAGTGAGGAAAATACATGGGCTGATTTTTTTATGATATTTATCAGCAGATTAATTCAAATTTTGATTTTGTTTTCCTTATGCAGTTTTTTTTCAGGCAGTTTTGATCCTTGTGTTAAGACAGCATGTACTTTTCAACAGCTCTGTGTTTTCCTGGCATACCTGTGTTAGACATATGCCAAGGTAGTCAACAGATACAGCTTCACATTTGTCAAAGTTTCTATCAGAAGAGTTTTTTCTAGCTGGTCAGATTCATATGGAGACACCAGTCTTACGGATAAGTTCAGAGGCAACTGCCTTTCACAATAGCTGCCACTTTAATAGCTTAGAGCAAGAGCTATAAGAGCTAAACAGCACTTTGACAGCACTGAGAGGAAGAGATCCTTTTCCTTCCAACGTATACCACTGACTACCGTGCTATTATCTTGAGGTGGCTCTGCCATTCACAGAACACACCATGAGCCATTTGTCTTGCCAGTTCAGCAGAAACCTTACCTATTTGAGGGCAGCAGAGAAAGTAGCTGGAGCAGAGAGTTTGCTGACAGGTCTTGAGCACCAGATCTGACATAAGGAAGAGAGATGACAGTTGTAATCATGAGTGAAAGTGGGAAACGAGATTCCTTATTCTTCTACCTGGCTCTTTGTTATGAGCTTTTATGGTACTTTAAACATGCCATGTTGTAACTGAAGATCTGAGTGTTTCTTTAATGCTTCTGAGCAATGTCATTTATCTTAAACTAGCTGTTTAATTTCAGTCCATCTGCATGGAAGAGACCAGAGTTGTATACTAACATAAGTAAGGATTTCTTCTGGTGTAACCATAAAGACAGAAAGTAGTTTCTGCTCTGCTTTCCTAAATGCTAGTTTCTTATTGGTATTGCAGGTATGTGTCTTCCTCATAAGCTAATTTTTCAGAGCTTAGTAGATGATTTTGATTAAGTGCTTACTTAAGTAGCACTTTTTTGCAGTGGAAGTTCTACAGGTACCAAGAGTAATTTTGGGTTTTGTTCCTCCTCTTTTCCTTCAGGTGAAAAGGGTACAGGAAAATCCACCCAAAAGCCATTGCATTACAAAAGTTGTCTGTTTCACAGGGTTGTGAAGGATTTTATGATCCAAGGAGGTGACTTCAGTGAAGGTATGATGTGAATCTTTGAAGAAGCGCTTGTGTGATAGGATGTTGCAGGAATTCTGTGTAGCATCATTTACTTATATTAATTATTCTGTGATTCAGCCTCTATTTTCCCCTTTTTTTCTTCATAAGAACCTTTATATGAAAACTTAAGTAATGAACTTGTATAAATTTACACATGTGCACACACACGCACACACTTTTGCTCAGTTATTTCCTTGGTCAGTAGTAAGTACTCTCTGTTTAAAGGTTTAAATATAAGGATAAAATATCTGCTGCTGGGAAATTGGAGAAAAAAAAAGGAGAGACTAGCAGAATACAGGGGAGAATGCCTTCTTGGTTTTCAAGTTTGCTTTGGGACTGCAAAGATGTGTCTTGGGTCGTCTTTGCATATCTTGAAGAATAATGTCAGTGGCTTGGATGCAGTCGAATTAGTATTTTGTTGCATTAAGCACCTTCCGCATAGCTTGACTTTACCACTACTTGAAGTTGTAACTAATTTTTTTTTCTTCTTCAAGGAAATGGCAGGGGAGGAGAATCCATCTACGGTGGCTTTTTTGAAGGTGAGTTTTATCAGTCTGCTCTATTTTGGTGTTACTACAAGCAATCACCTTTACAGCCTATAGTCTCTGTTCCGTAAACCCGAACTGCATTGTTTTTGTTAAGATTTTGTTCAGTCATGGAGGCATTTGACTGTCCAGTTTAGGTTATTTTATTTTACTTTTAAGATATGAACCTTTTAATTAAAGAAAAACTAAGACCAAGCTCTTTTGTATTTGCCCATTTTACCAGATTCACCTTTTTTTAACTGTTTTTAAACATACGCTTTTGTCTTGAGCAGCTAGATAAAAATTGGGGATTGTCCTTCCTTCCAGTGAAAGGAGAAAGGCATGATGGAATCAGGTTTCCTTGCAAATGTTTATTTTAAAGAATGCATAAACCCCTCCTTTCCTGAATGTGGGAGGAAGTAGTAATAGAGGCTGTCGGGTTCCTTACAGTCCTGTTTTTTTTTTCAGACAGTATTGCAGAAGTACCTCTTCTACACTCCAGTGTGTTTATCCAGAACATAGTGAAGCATCTCTGTGCTTTGCAGAGCAGTTTTTGGTATTAGACCTAACCCTATGTGGTGGCTAGCTGTCACCAGCAGGAGTGGTTATGCTCCTCCCTCATCCCTGCCATTTTTCTTTTAATGTTGGTTTTTGCCTGAGCTTGCAGCAAACAAACAAAAGAATTATTCACTATTTTAGTAGGGCCAAGCTGCTATTTTGTATCAGACCTTGAGTTGAATCAACAGTTTGCAGCTGCCAAAAGAAGGTCTTACCTTGCCTTGACTCTCATTGAGATCAAGCTTTCAGCTTATTCAACTTTCTAAAATGCCCAAAGGCTATTGCAGGAAAAAAAAAAAAGGATTTATTTCCATATTAGTGAGTGGCCCCAGTTCAGTGGTTTGGCAAGCATTAGAACCAACACAAACGAGTAGCTAGGTTTGAGGAAATGTATGGTTGGGGGAGATGGAAGAGGGAGCAAAACCTCTACCTACATTCTGGCAGTTGCAAGCTGGCTGGTCACCTCATCCACAGCATGAAAATCAGTTCATGGGAGTTTTTGCTTTTGTAGATCCCTTACCCAACTCACTATAGGATTAGATTGACACAATGCTATGTCAGATAGCAATTGTACAGGTGACTGAAGAGAGAGTGGGACTGTCCCTTTTGCTTCCAGTGATACAGTGTGTTGTGAAACCATATCCTTACAGGTAGTATTCTTTAGTACTTTGTTAATACTTGCTCCTGCCATCTGTACCTACACAATATTGAGTCAACTTCCTCTGTCAAAGCAGTCTTTATGCTGTTTTGGGAAAGGAGAGAGGATAATTTCCTGCAGATAGTGATTACATATCACAGTTTCAGTAGAATTTAGTCGAACTGTTACAGTGATTTGCTTATCAGAAATAGTATTCGTTTAAGTTAAAGCTATTTTCTTAATGGCCAGCTTGGCAAGTTCATCTGTGTGTCTGACAAACAGAAGCTGTTTAGGATTGTTACCAAACTGGATATCCATGTGTTTTAAAAATAATAAAACCAACAAAACTGCCTCAAAATGAGGGGTTTCTTAATCATTAATAAGGATGAGTATACTTAGATTACAGCATTTATCTTAAGCATATATCATATATTTAAAGTAACTGAAAACACTTTTTCAGATGAAAGCTTTGCTGTAAAGCACAACAAAGAATTTCTCCTTTCAATGGCCAACCGAGGGAAAGATACAAATGGTTCACAGTTCTTTATGTAAGTATTGTACTGCCCTGAAATGTGTGTGTGGCTTGCCATTTGTAAGTTGTAAAGGTAGTCCTTGTAAATATTGAAGACCAGATGCTTTGCAAACCTAGAGTTGATGTTTTGTCACAGAGTCGCATGGAAATAGACATTTTCCTAATATACGGTTTAGGGAACCTGACAGTTATTATCACTTTTGCTTTTAGTGCTTATTTAATGCAGAAGACCTTTTGATAATTTTCAGTAGCTTGTGTTCTAACTTGGCCGATAAAGCAAGCCTGGTAGTTCCTTGTAGAATTCTTACCACTTTCTTCTAGTATGTGTTGTCTGGAAGAAGGCAGAACAGCTCTGTGGGCTCTCAAAAACAGTAGAGTTTTGGGGCTTTTTGGTCACATAATAACTTTCCAGTGCAGTCTCATTTACAGTTAAAACTTGAATTCTTAAAATACATTGCAGTAGACTCTTCTTTAATTTATTTACAGAAAACAGTCTTTTACTCATAAACACTTTACTTCACACAGAAAACACTTTTACTCATATTTCATGCTTTAATTAAATGGTGAGCTGTGGATGTCACTTGCCATTAGGCCATTATTTTGGGATTTCTGACTGGTCATTACTGTCATTATCCTGGTTTTTTATTTCTGCCATGGCTGACATTGGTATATCTTGGGGCTAATATTGGGGAAAGCTGAGAGAAATTCACTTGTACTTCTGAGTTGATTAATCTGTACATGCAGTTATTTTTTTCCTTTGATTTCTGATTATTTTCTAACGTATACAAGGTTATTTGCAGTTTTCCTGTTCTGAGGCATTTGCCTTAATTTTTATCTGTTCTTGGTATTATTTATACCATTTAATAAATAGAATACTTATCCTGTATGAGGGTGCTGTCTAAAAAATTATGTGCACATTTTGTTCAGTAAAATGTGATAAAGTAATGAATTGAACAGGTAGTTTAATGTATAAAACATGAAATACTTTTAACTGCACACAGAATAACATATACTGGGTTTGTTTGTTCAGTCAGACTTGCACCTTCATATGTGTATATGACATTATTCAAATGGTGACTGCTTTCCACTAATACTGACTTTGTTTTTCTCTTTAAAAACCTGGAAACAACAGAACAACTAAACCTACACCTCACTTAGATGGGTAAATATCTATTATCTCCTTCTTATGTTTGTTTGGGAACTGCCTTGGGAAAATGAAGTACTAAGAATACTGTTGTTTAAATTCTTCAGACATCATGTTGTTTTTGGACAAGTCATCTCAGGTCAAGAAGTTGTGAGAGAAATTGAAAACCAGAAAACAGATGCATCTAGTAAACCATATGCTGAAGTACGCATACTGAGTTGCGGAGAGTTAATTCCAAAATCCAAAGGTAAAGTTGATCTGTACATTTTACATGGATGCAAACTGTGAGGTAATTTTGCTCATTTTCTTCCCGGTTGGTTGCTTATAAAAATATTTAGAAACTTATTTGTGATGGATGGTGGGGCAGGTGGTGAATTTTGCAGTACAGTTTGTCTTTGAAAAAACCTAACTGATACATCAATTTGTGTTGATGCAGAAGACATTAAAGAAACATCCCGTGTGCTTTCTTTAAAGCTTCTCCTGCCTTGGATTTCCTTATAGTAGCTAAATTTTAGTACAGTGCTGGCAAGCACTTGTCACATAGAAAATAGTGCTGTGTTAAGGTTGATGGCAGTCCGGCTATTTGATAACTACTGAAATTTTTGTAGGTATTGAACTTATTTCAATTTTCTTTTAGGTAAATCTTCAGAACAGGTATTGAAGACTAGTAAAGCCTGGAAGAAACTTGGAATAAGTTCAATAATTATTGTAAACTATACTCTTAAACAGGTTTATGACAGTACCTGTTTTTCTGTCTGGAAGGGATGTCCTGCTGTACCATTTTAGAGCTGAACATGGTATTGGAGATTGGATTCTGCTTCTTTTACAAAATAAGGCTCAATCTAAGATGTTGGTGCCACTCTGGAGAATCTCATTAGCAGAAACCCAGGATGCACGTTGGGTAGGACCTGTGATAGGGATCATCATGCTTTTTCATTCATAGCATCTTCTGCTGCTATGTACTGTGAAGGATTGCACCAGGGATATTGACGGATAAGAGAATAGTTGTTCTTTCAGCCTAAGGAAAATACAAGCAATCAAACTTGAGCTTCTTAGTTTTTCCTCTCCTTTCTGATGTAGTTCTGTGTTCACCTGTTGTGGTATCTAGTAGAATGTCTTTGGAGTCTGAAGTGATCTTTTCAATACCTCAGAATTCCAAGCAAAGTATCTTAGGGCTTCTGACTTCTCAAAGCTTCTGGAACTTCTCAGATGAACTCATAAATCACCTTGTGTGTTAGGAGATAATTTTGTTTCTCTGGACAGTACTTGGGAACATGGTATCTGTTAGAAAATGCATGGATGGCATAGATTAGAAAATAAACCAATACAGATGTAGAATGGGTGAATCTAGTAGTTGAGATACCTGTTTACATGTCTGTATACATGTTTGCCTCGGTTTGCCACACTCCGTTTTTAGTCCAGTCTAGAACACTTAAAATCAAATGACTTAAAATCAAATGAAGTTGAATAATACAACAGTTGCAATTATAATATTGCAGAGGCCTAGATCAGAAACTTTCATCTGGGATTTGAGAGGATGATCAGCTAGAGAAGTAAAATGCTTGCCATCTTCCCCTCTCACTTCCCCCTCCCTGCCCCCTCCTTTTCTTTTTGTTCCTTCAAGTTGAAGGGTTTAGTAAAAATGAATGAGAGGAGCTAAATTACAGAAGAATAATTTCTCTGGCCAAGTGATGCTATTGTTAGAAATACTTAAAAAGTTCCAGGGAAAATCCTGAAAGCTGGGGGAAGGGTGGAATAAAAGAAGAAAGCTAAGTATAGAGCGAGTATTTAGAAAGGTCGTTATGGACTAGATAAACTAATGCAAGTCTCAAGAAAAACTGAAACAAGTAACACAATGCTAACTTTCTTAAAGAAAAAAGGAGGGGGTTGATACTGGTAGATGAAGTTTTTGAGAAGGGGGTTTAATTAAACAAGGCTGGCTGCGTTGACTTTAGTTAATCAAAGGTATATCTTGGATGTTTTCAGGAATGTGAGACACTGACATCCTGGTTCAAAAATAGATGACAAAATTAAATAGCTTTGTGCATTAGGTAGTTTTTAATAAGAGCTTGTAATGAAGATTCTCATGAAAAGTGTATTGCTGGGGGATTCTGCACAGAGCAGTGCTAGGCTTGATTCATGATCTTCATTGATGACAACATCAGTGTCCCTGTAGAATCACTGTTCATGCAAGTGTGCTTTCTGCAATTAAGGCAGGCTGTGGCTGCTTCATAATTCATCGAAGAACAATATTGTAATTAGATCATTCTGCCAGTATTTTTTTCTTTAAAAAAAGTATCACTACAAATTCTCAAGCACTGATACAGTACAAAATGACACATTTAGGAATCATGGAATACCTATGGAATAAGAGCAGTTTTGGAACGTGGCTAATCTGGTAAGTCACGTCTTACCTAGACTTCAGACTTTTCTGTTCCAGATTATTATTTTTTTCCTTCTAGTGAACTAGCAATGAGGTATAAACTGGCTTGGCTTTAGCCGAAGCTGGTCAAAGTGGAGCTGGAGATGACTTTTTTTTCTTCTTCTTCTGCCCCCTCCTCTGCTATTGCAGTTTCATGGTAGGTTGCTTGTCTACAGAAACGTCTATATCCAGGGCGTTTTTGATACAGGACTCTTCACAGTAGCAATGTCATCTGATCAACAGGAATCAAGAATAGCAGTATTCCCTATGTGATTACTGTATATAATTTTCATTTGTAAGATAACGGTCCTTAATCAAGCAGTGAAAGACATAATAGGAACCCATGGCAAATAATTGAAGCAAGATGCACATGAAATAGGAAGAAAGAAGACCTGATAGTCTGAAGAGCAGTGCAGTTAAACACAGGGAAAAGTTATCAGGGAAAATATCTGTCTAAATGTCCTGAACTAAAGGAACCCTCTTTTTGGGGACTGCTGTAGGCCAGCACAAGTTATTGGATTTGACTGTAAAGTAACTTTTTGAGTGTCACTGCTGTGAATTGCAAGATGAGGTCATCTGTTCTGACACTAAAAAAGTGCCTGAACCCGCCTGCTTTCTGGCCAGGTCATTTCTTCATTTCAAGCCCAAGAGTCTGTTATCATGGGGCTAATGTAAGACTCGCTGCAGGTCACAAGCAGCTGAGATGCAGAGAGTCCTTGGCAGTGCCATGCAGCATGATCATGTAATTCATGAAGTCTGGCAAATGCTAATAGGTCACAGTGAATGGAGTAGGAAGCAATGTATCTATTTCATATGTGGTCATAAGTTGAAACCTGATTCTGAATGTAATGAGCTGGAACACTTGGACTGTAAATAGAACTCTGTTTCTTTCTTGCTGACCTTCATGCTGCAGGACTGGTTTCATTTATTGTGATTTGTGATTGGCCAGCACCAAATTGGTTCAGTATTCAAAATAGCATTTGCTGCTGGACAGAGATAGTTAGATGTCACCAGAAAGTGTATCTAAAACCTCTTGCCACAAGAGGATATCAGGGGAGAGACTTTTTAGCAGGGCCTGTTGTGACAGGATGAGGAGTAATGATTCTAAACTAAAAGAGGGGAGATTCAGGCTGGATGCGAGGATAAAATTCTTTACAATGAGAGTGGTAAAACACTAGCACAGTGTCTCCAGGAATGGGGTATCTACCACCTCTCTGGGCAACCTGTGCCACATTCCAGGCTGGATGTGGTTCTGGGCAACCTGATCTAGCTGATAATGCTTCTGCTCATTGCAGGGGGTTGGACTACATGATCTTTAGAGACCCTTCCAACCTAAACTGTTCTATGTTTCTTCCTTTGCTGTATAAACAGTTCTGGGCTTTTTAATTGTTGGGTTTTTTGTTTTATTTTGGGATTTTTGTTTTGATTTTTGGATGTGTTTTTTTTTGCCCTTGTCATTTCACTTCTTACCTGCCACATGATTTCCCAAATGCATCTGCTATTGGTGTTATTTTCTGCATAAGGGTCACATTATATTTGTTGAGGTAGTTGCTCACTAATTCACCTCCATTTATATCTATTAAAAGTAGTAACTATAACGCACCTAAACTTGTTACAATAATGCAGGTAAAACTGTCACAGATAGTTTTTGGCATGCTTAAAACAGATGCAGGAGGGATAAAATACAGAAAATAACTACATTTATTGATGCCTTATTCAACAACTTCTGAAATTGAGTTTGGAGACACCTTGTTTTACCTGAAGGGAGGTGGGAAACAGTATAGTGCAATATAGTGGGGGTTTTTGAGTAAGCCAAAACCAAAAGTGTCTAATAAATGAAGGTTGGAAGTACATGATCTTTAAGGTCCCTTGTATGATTAGCTTTCATTATGGATGTTGTAATAAAAACATTAGAATAATATTGAAGGCTGCTGATAGATCTAGAACATCAGTGCATCACCTTCTGCAGGCAGAAGGTGTTCTGGGCAGGATGTAGTAGATGAGAAGATGGATTGATGGGATTAAAATATGACAACTTCATACATTTGAATTCACTGTTTTACATTCAGTAACAATATGCAGAACAAAAGTTAGTGTTAAAAGATGATGCTATGAATGAAAGCTTAACTGATGCTTTTCTGAGAAATTATGACTCTTTTCCATTAGGAACCCTTCATTGTCCATCTCTGCAGTGGTATAATACATCTACATTCAACTCTGCTACTCTAAAGCATACCCAGTTATATCCATTTTGCAAGTGGCAATATGGAGTTTGCACAGCTCGTCACCAGTCACAGAGAAGCTGTCTGAAGTGCAACTAGAGATGCGTTTTGGGCAACCATGGATCTGTCCTCACTGATTTTTACCATTCTAGCCTAAATGGGAATGTTTTTTCTTATGAAAAGTTAAGTTGGTAGGAAGTACTAGCTTATTGTTAAAAATAGTGCATCCCTAACTGTTACACTAAGGCTTATTATCCCCAGGATACATTTTCCTTCTCTGACCAGTTTAGCAAGGAATTTTATGTAAGTTTTGTTGCTTTTGATCATCCTTGAAAAATTGCTACCTCCCATCATGCAGTTTTGCAAAAACAGGCCAAGTTAGTCCTGAATTTGAGCGTTTCCACATTGAGCTTGTGTTTGCAGTTGCAGATGCCTACTGCTACCTCCCAAGAGTCAGTAAGCGTGGTAATACCTGCTAAGCAGTAGGAGTATCTAATACTGATAAATCAAAAAATGGATACACTGTTCCATTAAACAGCTAAATGGTCACTTTTGTTTTCAGAAGGGCAGTTACCAGATGTATTCTTCGTAGAATGTTTCCACTGCCTAAAGTTCTCTACATGAGTATCACCTTTGTTTTTTTTTGCCTCCAGGTCCAATCTGCTTATATAGAATTAAAAGAATCCATTTTCCAAATAACTGAAGGCTAGAAGTTGAGTAACTGTTAGTATATACTACTCAGTATTTGGTACTGCTGCCATTTTTTTCTGTATATACACAGCTGTAAGTGTGGTATATGCTTACATAGCATATTACATTCCCACATAGCAGGGAATTCTGAAGTGGAGTTTTTCTTCCCATCCATAAGTACAAAATCAAGGCTGTAAGTAAAAAAAAACTGGTCAATAACCTGTATTCTTTGAAGTTCTGGAAATCTTTTTCTCTTCTGACACTTGAGTTGTTGTAATACCCAAGAGGGCTTGTTTTCTGTAGAGCAAGGGCAAAAAATCATGTTAACAGAATCATAACATTTGTACCTTTTTTTTTTTTTCCCCTTTTTTACAAGAGTTTTTCTAATTTCTTGCCTTAGTTATTTTATAACAATGACTGATATATAATACTTAAATCCAGATTGCATTATCTTACTGGGCACAAGTGGAAACCAACAGAAGAAATGCTTGGCCAGACTAAGTAGTTTCAATTTTTCTATCTTTAATAGAAATGAAGAAGGTTAGGCTGTTAAGGGAAACATCTCTATGTTTTCTGCTATGTGAAGACATTGTGTTCTCTGAATTGTTTTCAGATGCAGACAGGCTGTGTAGTCAATAATCCTGTGTTTGGTGCCTAATGTTTTCCCGTAGCTGTTTTGTGCAGATGAAGTGCAGGGGGTGGGAGGTTGCATTTAAATTGCTTGCATGTCAATGTAGCTCAGATAATATCTCTAAACCATGAATTCTTTGGGTAGAGCAAGCTATTAAATGCTTTGCAAAATGCTAATACTTTAAGTTAGGATTCATACACAACTTTAAAATTCATTTCTGTCTCTGATCTGAAGTCTTAACAAGTATTCTCCTAAAATATGGATTGTTTACTGTGAGGAGGAAACAGGACTGGATATTAAGAAAAGCTTCTTCACAGGCAAGGTAATCAGGTATTGGAGCAGGCTGCCCAGGAGAAGTGGTAGAATCATTGTCTCTAGAAAAACATGTAGACGATGCCCTCAGTGACATGGTTTAGTTAGTGGTGGACTTGGCAGTCCTGGGGTAATGGTTGGACTTGATGATCTTAAAGGTCTTTTCTAACCTAGCTGATTCTATGATTCTATGACATCAGTATTTATTTTTTAATGGTGAAGGTTCTGTTTCTTCTGTCTGTGGCTGTAGTATGTTGTGTAGTGAATGATGAGCTATCTTTGTAATTTGCAATGACAAAGTCAAATGATATTTGATGCTAATTAGAAAAGTCAGCTACAGCAGTCTGAAGTCAGCCAGTGTTTTTTTCTCGATTTTTCTGGGTAGAGCTTTTAATTTTCTGAACAATAACCTGGTACAAATTTCTTAACACATTTCAAGAGTATTCATATAATTTAACTGATTTACCAGAAGCATCATAACCCCGAAGCCTAAATTTCCTTTAGTAAAGTTTTTATGGTGCCCTTCTTGATTTTTCAAATTACTGTGACTCTGAAATAATACTTATATCACTTTTAATAGCTTAAGTAGGGCTCAGATCAGTTAAAGGGCATGAAAAGCTGTGTGCTTGCATTATTTCCAGTCAGACAAGTGCCAGATTGCCAATAAGTTGCTGGTTTGAAGCTCCAGCAGCCACATGAGAAATGGTGAACTGCGTAATTAAGGACTAGTCTGCTCTTTAGCAGGGTTCCTTTGCATACCAGATGGTTAATAACTTGAAAAAAAACACCACCACCCAGAAACCATCAAACAAACATAAAACCCAACCACAACATATGAGCTGGAGGTTTAGGACTGTTCTCTGAGCATGGTTTCACTTAGCAGGAAGCTTGCTTATTTGAATCTTCCCTCTAAGCTAAATTCAGTGAGTAATCAATTTAGTCTGTGGCACTTACTTCCTGTTTCAAAACTTCTCTTGTTTCTGATCTGAATAGATTTTATATGAAATCAGGTTAAACCTAAAGCCAAAGAGTTGGTTTTTTTTTATAAACATCTTGTAAATTTTAAGTAATTCTTCATATGTAGCTTATGTTGAATGGAATGTTATCTGAAAACTTGCACAGTTCTACAAGTTCTTGACAGTATAAATTTGATAATTTAGAGCTTTGTAAATGCAAAATGTTGGAAATTTCTGATGTCTTGCTAGACATACCCTTTATTGTACTTGGGAGAAGCACTGTTTTCGCCAAAACTTCCATTTGTTTTTAAGGATTTTGATGAAGTAGTCTCATGATGTAATTACAAGAATTTCAGGCAGATACTAGATGAGTTGGTTTTCCTGCTCAATGTTAAAATGTGTCTTTGCTCTTCTGACTGAAAGCCAAGAAAGAAGAAAAGAAAAGGCACAAGTCATCTTCCTCATCTAGTGACTCGGAAAGTTCAAGTGATTCAGAATCCTCTTCTGATTCATCGTCGGATTCTGAGAGTGCTTCGGAAGAGAAGTCTAAAAAACGAAAAAAGAAACAAAAGAAAAATTCCAAGAAACATAAGAAAGAAAAGAAAAAGAGAAAGAAAAGCAAGAAAAGGTGAATTTTAAACTTTGCTTTGTTACATGTACACCATACATATTCTTGTCCTATCATTGCGGAATAGTGTTCTGTGAATTAGGTATTTTGAAGTATTAGGTATAATAATTAGGTATATTGAAGTATTTTGAACTAGTGAATTAGGTATTTTGAAGTTTGGGAGAGAGTCAGTTTCCATATACAAGCTTAAATTTTTCTGATATGATGGTAAAGGACAGTGTCCATATGCATACATGCTGCAGCTTATAAAGGAGTGAAGGAAAGGGCTAAGACTTAACACGGTTTTGGCTTGAAAAGTTGTAGGAGTGCTTGGTTTGAAATAGGTGGTGATAACTTGCTTCCCTAAACTCACTTCTGTATGATACAATTTAAATTGTATGCAATGGGACTTAGGAGAATGTAGTCTGCAAAATTAAATGAGAAATGAATAAATGAACATTATTTTGGTCTGATATGCCAGAAATCTTGGCATGTCACTGAAAAGTGGTAAAACTCAAAAGGCACTCTTGCTTCTGAAAATGTTATTTCTAATCTAATAGTTTCACTTACAGTTAACGTGAGATACAAGTTGTGTCAGTGTGTGCAAGCCATGTTTTTCTAAGCTGGCAGCAAAATGTAAGACCTGTTCACATAGGGCAGTGCTGCCTAAACGTTGTTTCAGTGGGACTAAGCTCGTTTCACACAAATTTTTTTTATTCCTACCGCTTGGAATTCCAGTAGTTTGTAGCCAGTTATATATGCTAGTGTAAAATCTGAATTTGACTCTCCTGATAGTGTTTTTAGCTAAAAAAGCTGTATGTAGAGAGTAAATGATGTTCAGTGTTGCACCAGTTTTGTTCCAATGTGAACTGGAATTCATAGATTTTTTTAAATGTTGGTCAGAAATCTACTGTAGTTGTTTAGTTTAGACCAAAAATGCCACAGGGGAGAAAAAAGTTCCATCTGAAATAGCTGTTTCTTGAGTTCCTTGTGGTATCATTGTGTGTTGAATTGAGAGAATTTCTGAATTATCTAAATGGATTGAAAGGTTTTCCCTTGTCCTAATAACTCACTTCAAGTATAATTTTTCTTTAAATAAAATTAAAGCTCTTCCAGTGAAAGTGAAGATGAAAATGCTGAAGCACAGCCAGTGTCTACTGTCCGTCCTGAAGAAATTCCTCCTGTACCTGAAAACCGGTTCCTGATGAGGAAAAGTCCTCCTAAAGAAGAAGAGAAAGAAAAAGAGAGGAAAAGCAGAGAGAAGGAAAGGGATAGGTAACATACTATGTTTTGAATTTGACTATGCGCTGACAGTGGTATGGTCAGGTTACTGGTTTAAGACTCTAATGTTAAGATAGGCCTCTCCCTATGAAACAGTTCCATATTGTGGGTACTGCTGGATGAAAAAGGATTTCTGAGTTTATTGGAAGCTGTTGCCTTTGTCCTAGAACAAAGACTTAGGCTTTGAAAATGGTTTTAAAGAATGAAAAATTTAAAATGACCAATTCAAGAAAAAGAAAGGAAGGTGCAATACAGTTTCATTTAGAATTTATTGGAACATGCCCAGTCTGAATCTATAGTCTTCTTTCAAAAATGGAAAAACTGGAAATCTTGTCAGATATTTTGTGGTCACAGAACCTGAAGTTTTTACTGTGTGGTTGTTACTATGTGCACTGATTATAAAAAATAAAAATGCATGTGTGTTTTCCTTTAGTTTAATTTCTGAAGATGTTTTAAAATTGGTTTTTATTTTTTCTTTCCTTTTTTTTTTTGTCAATAACAATGTAACTTTTTAAAAATTACTTTTAGTAATCTATCGAATTCACAGTCAACGTACCAGAGGAGGCTGTTAGTGACCAGATCTGGAAGGAAAATAAAAGGAAGAGGACCAAGGGTAAATATCTACAATCTGTTCCCCAGAATAAAGAAGGTGGTAGCACAGTCTTACAGCTGGTGTTAGGAACCGTTTTCATTAGGATGGTTGATGTGAAATAGAAAAGGTGCATTGTAATTGATTTGGGGACTGAGGCTTGAAGGAAGACAAGAAGAAAAATTAATTTCCTGCTTGCATACCAGGTTTATTTGAAGGGGAACTTTCTTTATTTGAACAAAAAAATGCTTGCTTCATATTACTGTAGTACTCTCTGATTCTGTGAACGGAATTAGCTCAAAAATGGTTCTCGTGATGAGCAGAAGCAGTATGACATCGGTCACAGGAATGTGTGGAAGATCTCCACGCCGTATGTTTCACAGTACTTGTAGCAAAATGTTTTTAGCAACAGAAGTCTCTATCCCTCAAATTCTACTAAACACCGTAAATAAGTGTGAAGTATTGTCTTTGTGTTGCTTGTCAGAGCTAAGAAGAATTTTCATTCTTAGAAAAGCAACAGGAGAAGACCTCTGAGCAGAATGCAAAAATCAAAGTTACCTTTAAAATAGTTATTTGATCAGGCATTTTAGATTCCTGCTTTAGCTGAATGCCAAGTGTATTTTTCAGTAAGTTAATAACTTGCAATGTGAACTTGTTATACACGTATGAAGTGTGATGTTATGTGCTATGTAGAATCAACTGCCAGGGCTAAAAATCTTGCATAGCTATCGCACCATGTGAAATTCAGACTTACACCCAATTTTCTCTTATTCCTTTCAAGCGTTACCGGACACCTTCCAGATCAAGGTCAAGAGATCGATTCCGACGCAGTGAAACTCCTCCACATTGGAGGCAAGAAATGCAAAGAGCTCAGAGAATGAGAGTATCTAGTGGAGAAAGATGGATAAAAGGGGACAAGTAAGATTACTTCTTTCTGGAATATATGCATTGAAATTTTTTTACATATTTACAGTGATACCGGTCATCTGAGATTTTCCATTATGGTTACTTCTGGAAAAAAAAAAACAGGGTGCTGGTTTGGTTATCCCATTATTTGTGCCTGATTTTAGTCATGCCACTGTAAATATATAGTTACTGATACAGATGACCTAATGTGATTTAAGTTTCAGTTGTGAAGCTGTCTTGCTTCTGACTTAATTTTTCAGAGTGGAGGGGATTCAAAATATTTTAAAAAATTGTATCTTTTTCTCTCCAAGGAGTGAAATACATGAAAACAGGAAAGATAATCAAAAAAGCCCAGGAAGAGGAAAAGAGAGAAAAATATCAGACCACAGACATGTTTCTGAAAGCCCAAGCAGAAGAGGGGAAAGAGAGAAGAAAAAAGATCACAAATCCAGCAGTAAAGACAGGGAGACAAGAAGGAATTCAGAAAAAGATGACAAGCATAACAAGAGCAAGGCCAAGAAAAGAGCTAAATCTAGAAGCCATAGTAAAAGCCGAGAGAAATCAAAAAGTAAAGAAAGAGACTCTAAGTACAGTAGACATGATGAAAAGAGAATAAGATCAAGAAGCAAAGAGAGAGACCATGAGAAAGGTAGAGAAAAAGAAAAACGCTATGATTCTAGAGGGAGGGATAAAGAAAGAAGTAGAAGCAAGGAGAGAAGTAAAAGAGCAGGCTCACGAAGTAATGAACAAGACCATAGGAAGAGTAAAGACAGGGAGAAACGTAGGTCAAGAAGTAGAGAGCGTGAGCACGCTAGAGGAAAACACAGTTCCAGCAGTAGAACAAGGGATCGCAGCAGAAGCCGAGACAGGGGTAGGAGAGGAAGATCGAGAAGCAGAGACAGAGATCGCAGCAGAAGTAAAGACTATTCAAGGAATAGAGATAGAGAAACAAGAAGAAGAGGAAGGTCAAGAAGCAGAGAAAGAAGAGGTACACCAGATAGATACAGAGGAAGAGAAAATAGGAGGAGGAGAGAATCAAGGAGCTCAGAGAGGGAAGAAAGTCAAAGCAGAAACAGGGAGAGGTACACAAACAGGGAAAGTAGAAGCTCATATAAGAGGAACGATTCTGAAAGCCAAAGGAAGAGGCGTTCAAAAAGCCGTGAAAGTAGCAGTCCTGAATCCAGTAAAGATAAGAAGTCTAGTAGAGATCAGGATAGAAGTCCAGACTCAAAAAAGAGACCAAGTAGCAAAGAGAGAGAATCAAAAAAATCATATTCACGCAGCAGTAAAGAAAAGGAAAAGACCAGATCCTCAGCAGAAAAAGAAATAAACCAAAAATCAAAGAGTCAGGAAAGAGATCATGCCCCTAGTAAGGATAAAAAGTCTGACCACGAAACAAGTCCTGGAACAGATGACGACAGGCATGGATGAGTGTGTGGACTTAATGTTTCCATTGTCTCAAAGTTTTAGAGACATTTTGGGGAACGCCTTTTTTTAAGATGTGGACTTCAGTTTGGTCTTTTGATAATCTAAAACCTGGATCATTTGTACTGCTAAAGTTTTAATAAACTTGAAATGAAAAATGAATTACGTGTGTAATACAGTGTGCTGTGTTTTAAATATTTCATTGGTTTATGTATCCTTTTTGTGTGTTGGCAGCTAGAAAGTTAACTTCTATGCTGCAGTTATTTTTTACCGGATGAACTTAGTTTAGGACAGTGGCTGCCTGTGAAGAAGCTTATCCGTGTGTGGGGAAGAAAGCTGCAAGTATACTACATGTCATCTTAAAGCTAGGAGGATGTTGCGAGATGCTCATCACTGCTGTTGCTACATCTGTATTTCAGTAGGTATAAGTCCTAAGGAAAACAGTTTATAGAGGAAAACTACATTGTTGGGGTTTTTTTGTAATCACGAAGTGAAATAATTTACTTAAATCTTCACTGTACTTCTGTCATTGTCATCTGTGCTTGGGAGTTACTTCTTTGTTCTAAACAAAAAAAAATAATTAAGTGCTTATCAATGTAATTAGTTTCTCTGTAACCTCCTCTTTCTGTTCCATGCTTCTGTGTTTGTCTGCTGCAGAAAATTCAGCTTGGATGGTCCAGACTGCCCTGCCTCAGTTGCTAATTAATGGATGCACAGAGATGAAGCAGATTGCCAGAATTCACAGTGGGTGTCAAAATAAGGAACCAGGAAATCCTTTCTACTCTTGCTGCTTCTTTGCAGCCTATGAGAAGGCTGCTGCAGTTCTCCAGTACTGGAGCTTGGTGTAGTTGGAGCAGAATTTCAAGTGGTGTTTAAGACAGGCTCTTAATTTTTTTAAAACAAAAATTTGCTTTCCTTCCTACATCCCCTCATTCTGAAGACTGTACTCTCAATTCCTCCTCATTCCCTGCTACATGTATGTCTTCCTCAAACCAATTCCCTCCCTTTTCTGCTTTTCTTTCTTGCCTCTAGGATCTGCCTATTTCTTTCTCACCTTCACATCTTCATATGAAAGAGGAGGAGGTTGGATTGTGTTGCTACAGGAGTGCCCACATTCATCAACAAAGAGCAGCTGGGATGTGGTAGTGGTCTGAGAGGAGGATAGATTGGGTGCAAACCCCAGCGCTGCTTTCAGTCCTTTCAACTAGTCACGCCAAAGGTTGGCAAATCATGAAATCCCTCGGGAGAAGTGATGAGCATTAATGTAAAGCTGTGTTGAAGCAAAACAATGCTTAAAAAATTGATTTTGTTGTTTGTTCTTTTTTTTGGCAGATCTTTGAGTATATGGCATAACTTGTTCTTCCTGTCTTTGTTATGAGTTGACATTTTTGCTATATAACCCACTTTGTGATCAGTGTGTGTCTACAGCAGATTAGCAGAATTGCTGAAACTTGGCTTGATGTGATCCAGGCAGTCGTTATTCTAAAAGAAAAATGGTTCTGTTTTGAAAGCAAAATAAAATCCAGGTTTGTGAACCACATAAGCATCCTTTTCAAGGGAAGAAAACTATAGTGTTACTTTCTGGCAGAATACTTAAGTGGAGCTGCTTTGGTTATCAACTTTTTCCTGTGTTTTAGTATGAGTTTCACATTGTGGTGGTTGTTTTACACAGAATGTGTAAAAATGTTTCCCAAGTCCACACGTGGGTGGAGGATACAGCTGTTAGTTAAAACCGCTTATAGTAGTGACCCAAAGACCTGTATAGTAGGCCTGTTCCATGTGAAGCCACTCTGAACTCTGTGGAGAAGATGTAGTCCTGTTTTGGGGGACTTTAGTAAGAAAAAGGAAATTAGGCTTAAGAGAACTGTATGGCAGCCTTGGACAGAGACTTCCTCGATGCATTTGGTGCTACGCATGTCATGTGCTTCACAGTCTCATTTAAAAGCTCTTTGTTGCAGTATTATCATTATTTTTATGGAGCTGAACCACAAGTAAACTATTGCTGAAGAAGTACATTTGCGCTACTCATATTCTTGCCAATACCACTGAAGCTCATATAAGCGTGCAAACAAATGCAAAATTCTTCAACTGTATTGACTGCTGCAGAAGAGGGGAGAAAAGCAGCAATAAGGCAATCCATAGGAATTGTTACAAAGTAAGTTGCAAAGTCCTTAATTCAAAATCTCAAAATGGAGATTATATCCAATAATAGTTTACAGTTGTATATAGTTATTTCAGAAGATGTGCTTGTATGCCCTTTCATATTGACTGCTTTGTTACAGTTCTGAAAAGTATTTGTACAAATTTGAGCTCTAAATTATTTCATAGTTTATTAAAATTCACCTGAGTTGGTGTCACAAAGCTAGTTTTCTTGGGTTTTAATGTACGTTGTGAGAAGTTGGTTATTTTTACTTGCACACAGTGGGATACACTTGATCTCTTGATAGTGCATTCCTTTGCCTGTGCCATACTCGGTGCTGAATTGGTTTAATGCTGATCACTTTGTTTAAACTGAAACACAACAAGTGTACTTGTGTTTCCCTCCCTTGTAAGAGGGAGGATTTACCACATTTGTGCTTTTTCGTGGAAATTGGCAATGTTGATAAAAATTTGGTGGGACTAAAGCACAATCCCACGGACATCCCAAGCACCAGTGAGCTCTTGTGAAGCACTGACTGCTGCTCTCGCTGTCCAGGAACTGTTTCTTCCCTCTTTGGCAGAGCTTTCCTGTTCCCAGATTCACAGTAACCGCCTTGTGCTGTAGCCGCAGTGTGGCTCAATGTCATGTTTGGCAGCTGTGTCACAGCTTGTTGGCTTTTGGCTTAGAGAACTGGACTGGAAGCATATTTAAAAGCAATACTTGTATGTGTACCAGAGGTAATCAAAACAATGCTTGAGGTTGTTCCTTGCAGATGTGGAAAATAGCACATTGAGAGGACAGCTTTTTCTGTCAGTACCCTGGAACTGACCTTACTCCAGAGAATGTGTGAACCTGAAGACTCAGTGAAATGAGGGCAGGGTGTATGGAACTGACTTTGTAAGCAGTTAAGTGTATATACAGGCATTAGACATGCATTCTCTTTTGTATTGACAATAGATACTGACATTTGACTAGTACCATACAGCCTATGTATGCATGGAATACTGAATTTAGTATTGGCAGTACCTTTCCAAAGTTCAGCAGAAAGAGACTGTTGTTTGGTGTTGGATTTTCTGGGTACTGCCATCAACTTGGAGGCACAAATTCTTAGTGAGGGTGGGTGGATATAACATAAGGTTGTGTAGACACTGTTGCCTGTAAAAGATGCGTTGCTGTCTGTGAATTCTTTGAGACAGCCAGTGTTGCAGTTGTTGCTTTGCTTTAGTTTTTAAGAAAAAAATCCTGTGTTCTATCTAGTTGTCAAAATTTTAACCTAAAACTTCTCAGTTGCTGGTTGAAATCCCATGCTACAGACTTTTCTTGCAGTGGTCTATGTCAGATGCCCTGAAGAATTTGCAGTGATCTCCTAGCAATGTCTAATTTGTCATAGTGTCAGTCTGGCAAGTGGATTTTATATTAATGTAAACATAAAAAAAAGTAGTCCTTTAGCCACCTTTCCTGGAAATGTTTATTTATTTCGAGCCAATAAAGTATATTTTGACACCCTTGTAGGGGCTTAGTAGACTGATTGCTTGTCTGATTGACAAAAATATATATCCCTGATCTTAGGACTTTCCTTATAATAGAAAACCTAGAGTTATTCATGCTATGCTTTATCAAAGATCCCTCTTTTAAATCATCTATGTACTCAAAGGACAGCTTTGTGAGAAAAGGCAGTATTTTAGCAACAGAGTTGCTTTGTGGGTGTTTTTGTGTGTATGTGTGCGTGAACTTAACCTGGAGGATACCAGTGACAAAATTAATCTTCATGCTTCTGGAGTCAATGTGATAGAAATGTAAAGAACTGTTACTTCCACTTTCCTTCTTTTGCTGAAAATAGTTCTTTCCCAAATGCAATGTTTAATGAAATTATTTAAGAAAATGCATATCAGAAGTGTGAACTTTTTGCATTTTGCAAAATTTGAGTTTGGTAGAATTCCGCAGTTGTCTGGCTTAAAACTTTAGCTTTCCATTTTGTTGCATAGGTACTTCTAGTGCATATGATAGACATTTTCACATATCCTATACATATCTCTGTAACTGTATATAAAAAGTAGTCAGTGTATGGCTTTCGCCATAACTGCTAATGAAAAGAACGGCTGGAAGGATTGAAAAGAAGTTAAGCCTATTAATTTATGTTCAGTTGGAAGAGGAACTAGCTGATTACTGGTTTCCTTCACCAGCTAAAAGAATTGTGGTTAATCACAGAGGCAATATTGTGCATGTAATATTTAGCAGAGTATTTGGAAACCTCAGTCTTTGGACATTTTGTAATTTATAGACAGGGAAGATCCAGTTCTCAGCTGGGAGAAGTAGCTGATATGGAATGTACAGCTTGTGTATTAAAACACTTCTCAAATAAATGCCTTTTTGCATATTTGTTAGTGTATTCCATATGTCTGCCATGTGTGCTTCTTGCAGTATTACTTAGCATCTTCTGTATTTAGATCAATACTCACTTCTGAGTCATATGGTGCAACCTGTGTGTGTAAATGTGCTTGTGAGTGTCAAATCTTCAGCCTTTTAAAGTGGTAGTGCTGTCAGTACAGCTTTACAAAAGTATGGTGATTTGATGTCAGGGCACTACCTCTTCAGTTAAACCAGTCTGTTCATTTTTACTGAAGATGTGAATAGTCAGATTTTTATTCCATGCTAAATTGGATGATACTGTTGAGTTGTAGATAAAATTAGAATGTCTACTACAGAATGACAAATGACAGTCTATTCACTATATAACTACAGAATGACAAATGACAGTCTATTCGCTATATATTGTAACATACATAAAAATGTAGTCATATAATGCAACTGATTGTTGTACTGATAGTTTATTTGCTAGTGGCAAACTTTGATCTTGTACTTGCATAAATATAAGTCTTGTGTGTGAAGCACAGTAGCTTTCACTAGTTACAGAACTCCCTGTTCATGGTCTGCACTCAAAAGTAGGGGTAAGACAGCTTACATTCAGTTTATAACTGAATGAAAGAACAACTTTTGATCAAAAAGTCACCTACTGGCAGACTGGCAACAAAGTACTTTTCCCATTCCCTACAGTCCTTTCAGAAACTTGTGTGCTAGATACCCACAGTCTTAATGCAGACATCACTTTCCTATAAAGGATTAGACTCAGTGCCACAACTTGAATCTCAAGATAGGAATACTATCTTCCATTGCATTCTCCAAAGTCACAAATAGAAAACTGTAACAAATAAAAGGTGCTCTCACCATTGATCTTATTGATACAGGCAGATGTTTTTAAACAGTTTACTCAATTTTATTATTTGTTCAGCAAGAAATTTTTTTTTAAGCCAAAGCATAAGCTTTGAATGAACCCTGGAGGCCCAGCAATACTCAAATACAGTGCAGGTGAGTTGATAGTTTACCTTTGGTTGTTACCTTGTGACTTCTAAAAAGTAAATCTACTGCTTTGTTCCATAATAAAACAGAGCGGTTACTGATACAGTTGCAAGCTGTGGCACTTTGTTGTTGAGCTGAAGTTGAGTATAGGCGGTTTTTGGCAAATAGCATGCCTTGTAACTTGCTCCAGCTGTTAGGCACTGATAGGTTTTGCAGGCACATCTAACTTGTAAGGAGGCAGTGGCTAGCTTCTTCTTCCTTAGTAGATACTTCTGCAGTTATCTGATGTATTTCTGAAGAAGAAACAGAGTTTAAGTCTTGCTGTATAATTAGCAACTACATTTATATGTATATGCTCTGATCATCTGTAATTGAAACCAATGCAGAAATACTTGTCTTATATATAACTAAGCTTTACCAAAGAGTGTCCAACGTGTCCCTTTTTCCACTATGCCACTGTACCAGTTGCTTGATCTGTATTTACCAGATATTGGTGGTCTCATCTTCGATCTTGTCTCTGGTCTGCTCAGTAACTATTGCTTCTCTCAGTACATGTTGCTGCTTTCTAACCTTTCCCACTTTTTCCCTTTTAAATAGGAAAGGAGTCAGACCAGCTGCCACTCATTTAAGACGGGCAACTACTATTATGTTAATGGAGATGTAATGTTGAATTTTACTGGACCTGCAGTTCTGATGTTTAAACCTTTCATCACCTAACAGAATTGTGCATTTCTCTGGATAATATACTGGAGATGAGGAAGCCTACAGAAAAAAAGTGGCATGCTGGTTTATGCAATACAGTCTCAACCAGCTATGAACGACTATGCTTTAAGACTGCTTTCTAGAGATTAACAGATTAAAGGGTGGGTTTGAATCATTTATGTATCTACTTGGGTATCTAGTTCTTGCCATCAAAGACCATGATGCACCAAAACTAGAAAAAGCTTAAATTGTAATGGTGGCAGGGCAGGAATGTAAAGGGAATGACTACATATATTCAACTTTAACAAAGTCTATAGCACAGCTTATTTTAAATAGAAAGGAATTCCTTTAAAATGATTCCAAAGACGACATCTCATGTGGTCTTGTCATGTCTTTGGCCTTCAACTCCCTCTTAGTCTTAGCTGTCAGAGATGAGGGTTATTGTTTTTGTGTTAGTGCTGTTTTGGGGGGTTTTAAGAGCTATTTGTAAGTAGCAGATTTTCTTTCTCTAAAATATGCAGTGCTAGAACAAGGAGGAAGATTACAAACTAGCAGTAGCACTCTTCCATTCAAGAGATACCAGAAAGGTATAAGTTAATAACAGGCATCTGAAAAAAAATACCTATTGAAACAGAACGAATAATTTGCTCTAACATGACCAGTGAGCTTTGGGAAAAATAAGCAAATAAATAAAAATTCTTTGTTTTTCAGGAGTACCCAGCCAGTCTGTACTGGAACATGAAAGTGTCCACCCTTAGCAGTCCCAGCTCTTGGAGCACCAACTCTTCTGTTTGTAGGTAGTTTTGTTTCCAGGTATGTGTCCTCTTCAGACTTCCTCAGAGCCGAGCAGTTGCAAAGGCTGTCATGTTAAAAAGAGCTTGAACAGAAGTAACAACTCCAGCCTGGAACACTACCTAACAGTAAAGAGCTGCACAGTGAGTCAACTCAAATTCCCTTAGCAGAGGAGGCATTTTAGAAAGCTCCTCTCTTAGTTTCTTAGGTAGGAGTTTTATTAGATCCATGATGAAAGCACTGTCTTACAAGGGTACCACAGCCACAGGTACCAGTTATGTTACGGTTGGGAGAATATCATCTTAGACCCTGGAGTCCTGTGTGTTTAAACTTCAGTTGCTGCTCCACTTCCAGAGTTGGGTGACAGGTTTGGAAAATATGCAGTTTGATTTTGAGGTCTCTTTCAGTCCCCCCAAGGGTTGTCTTGCACTTCTAAGGTCTTGGCTTTGTAGAAAGGCCAACACCTATTATGTTTCTCATCTGCTATAACTTCCTAAAGCAGCAGACCATCTGACAGGGTGCTTTGTTGAGCAAAAACAGTAATTGAAGTTTACCAGTAAAATAATTTCTCAAATAATATTCTGATTTTCTAGCTATTAATTAAAACTTAACCTAGCACTGAAGTCCACCACCATCTATGCATCTTTTAAATACCTCTGAGGATAGTGACTCAACTCCAACTATTAACTAATACAAGTAGTGATGCTAGGCATAAGATCAGAGGTACCTCTCAATTAGGAGATTATTCCAGGTCAGCAATTTTCCTTAGCTGCAGTTGATCTCCATGTATTTTGTTGCCATCTTTAAATGGTAGCTGAAAAGGACCTCTGATGGTCAGCTAGACGAACCTCCTGCCATACATGGGACATCTTTAAAGCCTTCACAAGTAGTGATTCCACCACCTCCTGCTGAAGCAGGCTTTCGTGACTACTCAGCCTGTTGTCCCATGTCACAGCTTGTTATATCAGTCACCTGACTCTGCTAAGAAGAGTTTGGCTCTTTAAGGAGTCTTTTCATTGCTGGACTGATCCTCATCTATTTGCTGAATAGCTTCCTTTTGCTTGCACAAGGAGCTGTTCTCTCAGCCTATTTCCTCTACTCCTGTCATCTTCAACATACCATAAACAAACTGATTTTAGTCTTCTGTATTATTCCTGCAAGCAGCTTTCCAATTCTTGCCTTTCATGTAGGAAAACTGTAAAAGACAATGAAATGTTACTAAATGTTACTGAAAATTTTAGAACCTGGAGTATTTCTTCATGTTCTTAAAACCCTTGAAGATTTTTTTGCCAGCTTTTATAGAGGATTACTAACTAGAGCTTGTCATTTAAAGCAGACACACAAAGCATGCGCATCTCAGACTATGGAATAAAGTGATACCATGATTCATGCTGGATTTTTTCCATGCTTAATTTGGGTAACTAAATCGGTATTTAGCCAATGTGCTTTAAAAAAAATACTCGTTTTAGGTGTACTGAAAGGAAGAGTTGTTTTCTGGTAGTTGATTTTGATATTTCTGTAGATGCTCACAATAAAAACAGTATAAGCCCCATGGAAGCAGGCTGTAGACTTCAAATGCAGACATACATAATCTGCAGAACAGGGCATTTCTTGAAGCAGAACAGGAAATCGGGCTGCAGTCCACCTTGGTTCTTGCTTCTGTAGAGGTAGACTAAAACCCATTTAACTCACCAATTGCATGGTCGTGAGCACGTGCAAATATGCACTTGAGGGTGCCTTTGGAGAGTTACCAAGCTCTGCAGGTTTCAGCACCACGTCTGCTGTTGTCAGTGCTTCTCAAGGCTCCAGCTTCTGTGATCAAAAGGCTTTAATAGAAGTTTTCATTCTTTCTGCTTGCTGAAAAAAGCTTGAAGTAGTAAAAGGAGCACTGGCTCAGAGAAGGGATATAAGTCTTTTGTTAGTGAACTAAGTAAATTTTTTGAGACAGTTTCACAAGTTAATTGCCATGTCTCTTTTTCTAAAATATGCAATTTAAAAAATACATTACTCCAAGATTATTGGAGAGAATTGTGTCTCTTTCAGTTGATAGTTCAGCAATGTTAGCATTTTAGTTTAGATCACAAGTTGAGTTGTTGAAACAAGTCTCTTGGTTGTTTCTACTTACTGTGCTTTGGTTCACATTACAGAGCGATCACAATCTGGATCCTTTTGGATGAAACTTAAATAAGATGTGCTTCAAGCAGTGGCTAGAGCTATTCTAGGCAAAACCTCTGAAAAACACGCATCATGGGTGTAAAGTTCTCAGCAGCAACTTCCTCACTCTACAGACAAGCCCCTTATGGGCCACACTAACTGACATGGGTACTGGGAGCCAGTCAGCTCCCCCCCAGCCATGTCCTGCTGTCCAAAAACCTAGTAGCAGCCTAGGCCACAGCAGGATGGACTAACCAAGACAATTCCTGGTATGTGCTGGCTTGGAGGAGAGCTCTTGTCTCTGTCATCAGGCAGGGCTTTGAGGGGGCAACACAAGCTGTAACACTCCTGCACAATGCTCAGTCCCTGAGCAACCTTGAGGGCTCACATACGTTTGGCAGGAGGAATATGGAGAATCCTCTTATCAACTATCCTTCCCCCCAACCCCTGAGTTGTTTTGTAATACTACACATGTATACACTCCACCAATCTTGCAAGTTTGCTAGTTAAGAAGCCCAGGTCTTGGTCCCTCCTTAGAAGCTTGGAGAGAATAAAAATTAGATCCAGTAATGGCACTGAGTCAGTTACTCACTCTATCTCCAAAATGCTCGATCCTTGCAGAAAGCAGCTTCTCTCTGAGCATCGTAGTCCAAGTCATCTTGTTTTTCCTGCTGTTTTTTTGCCCGCTTTTCAGCCTGATAAAGATAAGGGAGTAACAAAGCTTAGTATTTCTTTCGCAACTTAACTTTCCCTTAAAACTCAAGAGGATGATCTTACAGGAGTTCTGAAGTAATGCTAGTTTATAGTTAGTTGATACTTGTCAAATATCATTCCTCTAAACTTCTTTCCCCTGCCATACCCCGCCATGAAAAAGGTAGACTGAATAGCTCAGTGACTGCTACTCTTTCCAGAAGATACAAAAGGAAAACAATGATATGGTTGGAAAAAATGACATAATGATATAGGACAGGATATGATCCATCATTGTTGATCTCTTTCTTATTACTAGCCCTCTCAGGTCATCCTCCCTGACCAGCACGGGCCAAGTCACCTTGGAAGAGGCTTCTGTTCCACTGCTCTGGGAGGAAGCTGGTCCCCAGCTTCAGCACCTGCAGTGCTTACAGGTAAAAACAAGCAAACAACAGAACACGCATATCACACCCACAGTAAGCTTGCTTTCTCTGTCCCGTCCAGGAAATCTAATCCTATGGCTTTAGAAGCGTGCTTCTGTCTGAAGGCATTTACAGGTTACAGCTCTTCTGTTTACCATTTGCTGGATCAGAAATTTCTGTACATCCATGCTGGCATCATGTTGTCTTTGTTTCATGTCTTTTTCTTTTTCCAGGTAGGTGTGATCTGCTGTCATCTGCTGATTACGATCTCTCTCACCCTCTGCTTTTTCTTCTTTCTCCTTCTCTACTTTCATCTTCATCTGTATTTTACAAAATACACAAAAAAGGATAGCCAAGGAGCTAGCCTGCTAAGCTGGAACTCATATCTTTTAGCAGAAGCAGCCCCATATCAGCACTCTGATGAGCACGGTCATTGTGGCTGGCCAGTGTCCAAGCCCAGGGCTTTCAGCAGCCATGGCAGATATGCACTGAACAGAGAAGTGGGAGAGAGAGAGGGGCCAGGAAAGATGTCAGTAGCACTGATGGAGCATGCTGATGCAGGGCACCAGAGCCACCAGATGTGATCTGGGCCAGGCTCCTCAGCTGCAGTGCAGAATCTGGAAAAATGTCTGCACAAATTGCCAACAATTCTGGAGCCTTCTAACTTTTGAGAGAGGATCATCACATCTACTGCTTACACCTTCTTTAAGAAGTTCATTCTGAAACTACAGATGGTAAATTTGAGAGGCAGCTGCTAAGTGAGAACCTGCATGTGCCTCTCACTTGTTTTTCTAGAATCTATGCTGTTTCCAAAAGGTATTCAGAAGTACAAGTATACGACAGAAAAAGGATTAAGAACAGGCTAGGTTTCTTACCATGGTGGTTCTGTGTTCAGCAATAGCTTCAATGGCAGCCTTTTGTTTTGCTTCTTTCTCTTTGATTTTTATTTGGTACTCATCTTCTACTGCTGCAGCTCCTCTAGCAAGACGATCATCTTCAACCTTAAATGCCTCATTTATCTGCGCAGTTAGTTGTTCAAGAGCTTTGTCCTTATGCACCTGGATTGCCCTGCAGAAGAACATGAGCTACTGTAAAATACCAGGATATCTGCTCAGTTTACCTGGGGCACTGCTCCTACCAAAGCCAGCAATCCCACCCCCAACAGCACCAATTACTACTGGAACTAGTAGTCTTTTTTTTTTCCGGTACTTTCTACTTCTCCCTCAAGTTTTAATTACAGAAAGATTGCCTACATCACAAAGTTTCAATTTTGCTGATACAAAATTGAGTAACATTTGTTACAAAATAAAATTGCAAGTTTGAATCTTTATGCTGAAAAGTGTAGCCCTAGACCTACCTATTAGTCTCAGCAACTTTTTCTCTTGCCAGATCAGCCATCATTTCTTTTTCTTTAATATAAGCCTCAATCCGATCATCTTCATTGTCTTCTTTTTGTTTCTCTTCAGCTTTAATTGTTTTCTTTTCAGATACATAATCCTGTTTACATCGAAAACAGCCTTTATGTAGAATGAGATTTTGAAAACATAAACTGGGGGGAGGGGGGGGAATATAGCAAAGACTTCAGGCCTAACCTAATAAGAGTTCTTTGGTTGTAGCAGTGGTGAAGCTGTAGAAAATTGTAACCCAAAGGTGGAGGAGCATTCTCATGACCTACTTACCACAAACTACTACAAGAGTAAAATCAGTGTGTGGTTGCAGCCCCATGGCACAGCGTCTGTAAGTTATATTATTTCCCCTACTTCCCCGCTGGCTCCAACTGTACTGCTCCCATCCTGTGCATCAGTCACAGCACAGACTCTGAAGGCCTCAAACAGTAGGAGTCTGTAGAACCACTAAACTGTAAAGCACAAGGCATTTGTGCAGAATGCACAGTCATATAAAGAAATGGCAGTCATATACAGCTTCTATTGTGTATTAAAAGTGCAGAATTGGCAGTCATATACAGCTTTTATTGTGTATTAAAAGTTGGGAACAATTGAGGTAAAAGTTGTGTAACTGGGGTGAGAAGAGTATGGGGTGGGGGAGCAAGTGGGGTTTCAGTGGGAGTTGTCTCCTCTTACTCTCTCACAATCCAGTGAATCATCACAGTACCTCCACTTCTCCTTGCTCAAGCAGGCATGGGGAGGGAAATACTGGATGTGGTAAGGATGTCTTGACAGATTTTTCTAAATCTCTCCAGTCATAAAGGGAAAGACAAGTCGAAAAGATATTATGTTCAGTCTCAGACTAATTCCCTCTTCCCAACAAATGGCCTTAAAGAATGGGTACATGGAACCTAAATTCAGTTCTCAAGTCAAGGACAATCTCCTTGATATCTATAGCAGACTTTTTCCATTTTAGACAAGTCGATACTTAGGTGCCATAATACAACTTCCAAGAGGCCTTTCTCAAAGGCACAGAGGAAAGACATGGCTTGCGGCTGGCAGGGTAGGCATATGATCCACTGCTACTGAAGCTGTAAGCAAACCTCCTCTTGCCAGGAGGCCCATTTATTTGTGGGCCAAATGCAACAGCTTCACTTCAGGCAGCCAAGGTGAAACAAGCATTTTAAACTCTGACTTCCTGTTACTTACGTGATGCTGTCTCCGGCGTTCAACTTTTTCTTTCTCTTCCTTTTCTCTGTCTTTCTGAATTTCCAGTTGGTACAATTGGTTTGATAACTGTATTTGTTCCCCTTCTCTTCTGTCTTCTAGCTTGGCCAGATCTGCCTGATGTTTGCGCTCCTTTATTCTGAATTGGGAAAAAGTTGAATAAATGTGCTAGGGACTGCACAAAGTAATGAACAGGTGTGGATTCTGCACAGCTACAGGTATGTTTAACAGTAAGCCTTAATATTTTGTAGTGAAAGTAGAATGTCAGAGATTAAAAATAGAACCATGTTTTTTTCAAAGGCAGGTGCAAGTCCTTTGGCTAAAGCTCGGGTCTAGTGCAAGGGAGTTGGTTAAGCCTATACTAGCAAAAACAAGTATGACGTGCATAGCGACTCAAATATTAGATATAATTTGGTTAGCCCGGTTTAATTGTCAGCCTACTCACTGTCACAAGCTGGGCCATTGTCAGCTAGCTGACTTCCAAGCAGTGCCACAGCACTGTGCAAGGCGTGGCCATGGTCATCAGCCGTGCTAGTAGGATCTGTGAGTGATTCTGGGCAGGGGGCACCGGCAGTAAGGAATTTTGCCTTAGAGAAACAAGCCGCTTGTTCTCATTGCCAGAATCTAGACAGTCTCTTTTAACTGACTAGGCCTGCCCCTGAAAGCAAGAGACGTTTGTGAAGCTGGAAAACGGAGTTACGGAGGAACAAGGGGGTGACGAGAAGTGACGAGTTTTCAGCCTGACGAGGGAGCGATGCTGAATCAAACAATGGTTTACGAGCAATGAGTCACCCGCTCCCGCCTCGGCTGGTGCAGGGTCGCCTCAGCCGCGTTGGCGCCAAAGCACTCGCCGCCTGTGCTGTGTCCCCCCCGCCGCGGGCGGTGCAGGCGGTCCCCGGCAGCACGGAGCTGGTTACGGGGAGATGCTTAACCCAGCCGCGCTCCCCTCTGCACGTCGCCGGACTCACTGCGCCAGCTGCTCCTGGGCCACCGCCCGCCGCGCCAAGTAACGCCCGCGCTCCACCTCTGCCTCCCGCCGAGCAGCGTCCGGCCCGTCGCGGTCCATCCTCGGCTTTTCTCCGCTGCGGGTCGGCCCAGTGCCCGACTCTCCGGGAAGCGGTAGCGTCTGCTGAGAGAGAGCCGTATCCCTACCGACAGCCCGGTGTCCCGGGGAGTCGAGGCTCGCTCTTCCACCCCCAGAGAGGGAACAAATGCGGCGGCGGCCACCACCCTTCCCCCGCTCCGTGCCCGCGGGAGCTCCCGGCCCTGAGCCGCCCTGCCCGGTGCTAAGGAGAGCAGCGTTACCTCACAGCACGAACAGCGGTGGGGACTGTGCCGCAGCTCTTATAGCAGCACAGCGCCCCGCCCTGCCCGGAAGCTGCTGGCAGGCGTCAGCTGCTCCTTCAGGGAGGGAGGTTCAGTTCGGCCTTTGAGGTGTTTCTCTCCCTTCCTTTCTTTCCTCCGGGCCGGGCACAAAAGCCTGCCCGAGCAGCGGCGGTCACTGCAGAGGCCACGGCGCGACGCGACCTGTCCTGTCCCGGAGCCGCCCTCGTCCGCAGCCGGTGCATGAAACACCCGTTTCTTTGTACGGGCCCGTACCCGGTAAGAGGCTGTAACGTTCCGCTCTGCCTCCGCCTTTCCGCTCCGAGCTCGGCGGGTTTTCTTCCCGCCGGGTTGCCTCAGCTCTGCGCGGCAGGTGGTGCGGCGCTTTGGCTGGCTCTGTGGGCTGCCGCTCCCGCACGTAACACCCATCCAGTTAGGCCTGCCTGTAGCTGCGTGTTGGAGACTTGCCTTTATCCATTACCTGGACTCAGTAAGTGGCCCCTGGGCACTGTTTTCCCTAAGGAAAACCCCTGGGAGCTGGATGAGGGGGTCTGTCCTCCCCCTCCTTCGACAAGTTCCTTCTTTGCCCTGCCTGGAAGAGACTCCTCGAGGGAGGAGGTGGCTGCTGCTCTGGGGAAGGAGTATATTCATCTTACATCCAGATGTTTTACACTGTAGGGGAGGCAAAACTAGCTTTGCTTGGCCCTCAGCTTGCAGGAGGGACCTCACCCGGTATAGCCTCATGTCTTGCTCAAGTCCTGTGCTTCCTTCAAAGCCTGTTGCTACTGAAACCAGGCTCACGAAAGACCTGTTTCCAAGTTGAAATATTGTCAAGCATCCTTTCTGTAAAACCAGTTTCAGGTTTGTTGTTTGTTTTTGTTTCTGTTTTTTTTCTAGAACTTGCATAATTTTCTAGTTTGTTCAGCAGAGATGGGCAGCTGGAAGGCTGGGACAGAAGCTTGTGTGCAACAAAACAAAGCTTCAGGTTTCTTGGGTTTTGTTTCCAGTGAAACCCAGAATAGGGGGATACCCTATTTAGACTCCAGGTCATTACACAAAAGGCATTACAGGAAACCTTAACTCTGTCCAAGGCAGGAACATGATGGTAAAATTTTGGCAAAGAAACTAAGCTTAAGGAGTGAGATGTGTGGGTGATTTGGGTGTTGGAGAGTAAATCAGATGAAGAATCTGAGAAGCAATTTCAGATCAGATCTATTTACCGCAGCTTGAATCAGTCTCTTTAAAGGAACAGTTCAATGATATTGTCTCTCATTGCCATGCTGTTTTTGTAGCAGCTATTGAGAGTTACATTGGGACCTATATTTGTTTCCTAGGTGACCTCTTAAGGGCTGTGATCAAATCACATTCTATTTTCATTTCATAGAAATATAACTCATTTATAGTGGAACATTTGTTTTACAGAGGTAGTTGCAAAATTCTGTAAAAACTGCAGTACTGTTCTGACTTTCACGTGTATAAGGTTGTTTTTTCTTCCTCTGATGATTGTGGAAAGTATGGGGAATACTTAACTGGAAGTAAGCTAGTGAAAAATGTGAACTTTTGCACTGGGAATTTGTATTACAGGCCTGAAAAACCTGGGACAGTGAGTTTTTAGAACAGTGAATAATAAAAATATAACAGTAATAGTGAGATTTTGGCTGGAATGGGTCACATGGATGGTCAATTATATATCATGCATTCCTGCCTCAAGTTTAATAAACTAACTTATATTTTTGAGAATATGACCAGTTCTCAGGCAATATTTTTTTGTTTTTCAAATAGACTTTGTGATTCACAGTATATAATAGATGCAGTTTAACTCTGCCTGTAAGGTTCAAAAAGACATTTTTTAACCACGTGAAAACTGCTTCTGCCCTTCCCTGCTAGATAGTCTCTGTATTACTTCATGTTTTTAACTTCTTGTGCAGTAGTACATCTACAAGGTTACTGGGTCCCAGCACCATCCTGTGCTTGAAAACCATTTGATCCTTTTTCTCTGGAAAATGGCTTGAGTCCAAGTCCTCTTACATCTTTGTATGCTTTCAGAAGAGGATAAAGATGATGTGTAGTCTTGGCCTCTGATTCAATTACTTGCTTTGCATAGCTCTGAAATTCCTGCTCTTTACAGAGAGCAATAAACTCTGTCTGAGCATTGTAGTCCAAGTCTGCTTGCTTTTCCTGCTGTTTTCTTGCCTGCTTTTCAGCCTGATGAAGAAAATGGAATAACAAAGCTTAGTATTTCTTTCACAACATAACTGTCCCTTAAAACTTAAATGTATTAGGAGATGTGGTGATGTTAGTTGATACTTGTCAGATATAATCTTTCCCCACTCTTCTCCCCTGCCGTATCCCCTCAAAAATGGTGCATTAGATAGCTGAGTGAACATCAGCATTAATTGTTGCTCTTTGGTGACCTGCCCAGAAAATACAAGAGAACAGCAGTAGTACATAATGGCACAGTGCAGGAGGTAATCTGTCACTGTAAACCGACCTTGACTTGTGCCACTGCTGAGAGGAGGCTACTCTGTGTATGCAGAGCATAAATGATTTAAGAAAACCAAACCCAACAAACACACACCCCCTCATGCCCCCCCCAGCCAAAAGAACAGTAAGCTTCCATTCTTCTTCTCAGGTAGGAGCTAGTGCTGTTGGTTTAGATGCATGTTTCTTTCAGGTTACCTATCTTCTGTTTACCATTTGCTGGATCTGAAATTTCTGTACTTCCATACTGGCATCACGTTGTCTTTTTTTCTTGTCTTTTTCCTTTTCTAGGTAAATGTGGTAATTTTCCATTATTTTATTATATTCTTTTTTACTCTCTGCTTTTTCTTCTTTCTCCTTGTCCGCTTTCATCTTCATCTGTATTTTACAAAATACACAAAAAAGGATAGCCAAGGAGCTAGCCTGCTAAGCTGGAACTCATATCTTTTAGCAGAAGCAGCCCCGTATCAGCGCTCTGATGAGCACGGTCATTGTGGCTGGCCAGTGTCCAAACCCAGGGCTTTCAGCAGCCATGGCAGATATGCACTGAACGGAGAAGTGGGAGAGGGAGAGAGAAGGCTAGGAAAGATGTCAGTGGCCCTGATGGAGCATGCTGATGCAGGGCACTAAAGCCACCAGAGGTGACCTGGGCCAGGCTCCTTGGTTGAGGTAAAGCAGGAATAAGAACAGGCTAGGTTTCTTACCGCAGTGGCTCTGTATTCAGCAATAGATTCAGTTGCAGCCTTTTGCTTCTTTGCCTCTTTGTCTCTGCGTTTTTTTTCTTCTTCAGCTTTTTTTGCAGTGTCTCTAGCAAGACTACCATCTTCCTTCTTTAATGTCTCAGCCATTTGTAAAGCTAATTGTTTAACAACTTTGTCCTGATGTTCCTGCGCTTGTCTGCAGAAGAATATGAGCTACCATAACATACCAGGATACATACCTTGGCCTACCTGAAGCACTGCTGATACCAAACTCAGGTGTTCTGCTTCTAGTTTTCTCTCCTCTTGCCACACAGTCTACCCCAACCCACCCAACTCCTCAATCTCCACTGTTCCTCCTGTTTCTTTGTTTTTAATTGTCTGCTTTAATAAATATTCCCTGTATTCTTGTAACACTAGCTTTCTGCTGCAGTAATGAGTTGGATCATGCAGTGGAGAGTCTGCCTAGCATTTTGCCATCAGGGGAGAAATGCTGGGTCTATTGGCCCAAAATGAGAAAAGAAGGAAAGTCTTAGATCATCTCAATGGTATCATCATGCTGTCCCTGTATTGATAGATGACCTTCCCTTAATAATAACCCAATGTAATTAATTAATACAGGTGCCTAGTTAAGAAGTCTTAATTATTTTTCATGATCTGGTTCAGGGAAATATAGCTTATGCTCAAAAATACTTTTGTTGAGGATTTTAATTGTCTTTAGTTGTTGAGGAGGTGGAGGCTTGGCAGATGACATGGAAAATCACTGATCCCAACACACTGGTGTTGAGCTTTGTACTTCTGTATGTCTTTGTACTTCGAAGGGCGGAAAGATCGCTTCCCCCCCCCTCCCCCCCTTACTAAGGAACCCGTGACAGAATTTCCTTTTTCTCCCAAATTTCCTACCCTCTCTATCATAATTTTTTAGAATAACTGTGGATTGTGTTATCAGCCTGAAAGATTTGAAAATGGCTACAGTATGATTTTTAGTTTATTTGCAATTAATACTCTATTTTTGTACCTACCTATGCAATTCAGCTTTTTTCTCTTTTGTCATTTTGGCGATAATCTGCTTTGCTTTAAAATGAGCTTCGATCCGAGCATCTTCTTCCATTTGTTTTTGTTTCTCTACTGCTTTGATTATTTTCTGGTCAGCTACATGCTCCTGCAGGGGCAAAACGGTCCTGCTGTAACGGGGAAAGTTGAGAAAATCTGGGCCTAGGGTAGCAGCTTAAAAGAATCACTCTCAATTCTCTTTTTCTGCGTTTGTTTCAAAAAAGAGAGGGAATAGTTTCTCAGTACCTTCATTTCTGCCTTTCTGTTCATACATGAAGAGAAGATAGTAGATATGAGTAAGGAGAAGGGGAACTGAGCATTGACCAGCTGCTTCTCCAGCCCATTACACAGACAAATTGCTATGCAATGCAGTGAGCATTATCCCTTGTTTCCCTTCACACACATGGGAGAGGGGGATGTTGAGAGGAATGGGACTGTGCAACCCCCACCAGTACATGCAAGAGGCCTTTCTCAAAGGCACAGAGGAAAGACACAGCTTGCAGCTGGCAGGGTAGGCATATGATCCACTGCTACTGAAGCTGTAAGCAAACCTCCTCTTGCCAGGAGGCCCATTTATTTGTGGGCCAAATGCAACAGCTTCACTCCAGGCAGCCAAGGTGAAACAAGCATTTTAAACTCTGACTTCCTGTTACTTACGTGATGCTGCCTCCGGCGTTCAACTTTCTCTTTCTGTTCCTTTTCTCTGTCTTTCTGAATTTCCAGTTGGTACAATTGGTTTGATAACTGTATTTGTTCCCCTTCTCTTTTGTCTTCTAGTTTGGCCAGATCTGCCTGACGTTTGCGCTCCTTTATTCTGAATTGGGAAAAATAAATAAATAAATAAATAGGGTAGGGACTGCACAAAGTATGAACGGATGCGGATTCTGCATAACCATAGGTACCTTGCACAGAAGAATGTGATACTTTAAATTGAAGATGGGTGGAATATCAGAGGTGAAAAATGGCATCATTTTTTGTAATGGTAGCCCTAGATCCTTCGACGAGAAATTAGGTACATGGTGTGCTCACAGTTTGCAATCTTTTATCTGGATGACTCGTTAGCACCATTGCATATATAACGTTCTGGCCTCTCTCTGCAGCATCCTCAGTCACAAGAGTTCTCCAGTAAGTCCCACTGTATCTGTGTTTCTCTCCCTGGTCATGCAGGCAATAGCTTAAGCTGGTAGTGTTCGATAAGAAGTTCTGCAAGGATTCATGTGTTGGACCTGGAATATGTGAGACCAGTCTTTGAACCCTTCCTCTGCCTCAGGGAATTTGACTCCTTCTATCAGATCACCAGGGCCAGATGTCTATAAATACCCCTGGGGACTCCTTCATTAAGGTATCTGGAAGAGCCCCACAGAAAGAATGGAGATGGCAATGATGTTCTCTTGATGCCGGTGGACGTGGCAGTGATGTGTTCTCTTGATGCATTCTCCGGACTCCAGTTATGGGCGAATGGAAAATCTGGTTTAACCATTTTTGGAACTGAAACTGAGTTCAAATACACTTTCAGTGACAACTTTTGAGTAGTGATTTGTCTAAAACTTATTGAAGCCTACTAGACTGTTTACATGTAGACTGTTGGCAAGTAAAAGAGTGCAGTATCACAGCTTTTCCCATTTGTGCAAGGTCCTTTGTGGCACCCTGGATTCAGTAAGTTTCTGCAAAAACTTTGTATAATGTATTTGTGAGAAGAGTAAACAACAACTTAGGGTAACTTTTGATTATTACTTACTGTTCCAGCTGATCTCTGCGTAGTGCCTGTTCATTCATGTAACGCCGACGTGCCTCTTCTTGATCCCTGAAATTAGCTTCTTTATATTCATGTTCCTTTTCTTCATCCTTCTTTTTGTTAGCATCTGACTTTAACTTTTTAAATTCAACTTGAGCATCTCTTTCTTTTAGGACTTTGGTAAGTAGAAGTGCACTCTGCAAGAGAACATTTAGAATAATTTGCATGTTCAGCAGTGTTTAAAGACGTTCAGTACAACTTGAATTTGAAAACCTGTCAACACACATGAAGCCCTTTAATTCTTTCGTTCTGATAGCTTAGGTAGGTTTTTGCACGATCAATAGCCTCCTTCCGTTTTGCTGCTTGGAACTTTGCTTCTTCCAAATCAATTAACTTTCTTTCTTCTTCTTCCCTTTCTTCACGTAATTTTCTGGCTTTTAGTTTCCGTTGTGCCATGCCCTGTATTGCAGATAAAATTAGAAATCACATCTAAAGCCCATGGATTAAAAATGTATAAACCATTCTGAAGGTGAGATACTCAGTGTTTTGGGTTTTTATTAATTTTGTATTTTACCTTTGATTAAAAAAAGTTGATATTAGAAGTTAAATATATTTAATTGTCTTTAGTTAAAATATTTATATTTTAAAAGCAAATGTTAAACAAAGGGAGTGCAGCTAGCAATATTACTATGAGTGGCTTTGCATATATGAAAATGAATCCCCTTGTTTACAAATGTGTGTTGTACTTGCCATACAGGTATTGGGCCAGTCTTTTACAGCAGCTTTGGAGCGTAAATGCATTTCTTCCCGTTCTTTCTTCTCGGCGAGGATGACTGCAGCTTCTCTGGTTCTGCTGCCAAGGCTGTCCTGAAGCCTTTCCCATTCTGCCTTTGGCAATATAATTACCTGATGAAGATCTGTTCCATTTGGAAGAAAAAAGCCATCTAGAGTGTCATTTTCTTCCAAATGGTGTGGTGCTGTGCAGAGGGAAGAAAAGATAGGTTACTTGGTATCAGAAAATCCTATATTCAAACCTGTCACAGGATTTGAATTCTTTCATAGCAACAATAGCAAGATATCCTTAGTATTAATTACTCTCCCCATCTCTGTACCCCAGAGGTAAGACAGGGTATCTGTAGTCTAACTACAGCTAGTGCATGTACTTGGGCTGTGGCACTGACTTAACTGTTGCATGTCCCCTTGTCTCTTTGTCTTGTGGTAACTTACATTAGGTTTTGTGAAACGCCTTTCAAACTATCACCAGTATTGTTAAAGGAAATGGCACTCTGTATGGAGTAGCATCCTGTTAGAAGTTCTTGTTCATCTGGTTTGCAGCAGACTGAAATGCTGTGTTTCAAATGTAAGGAGGCTTTCAGTGATACTGACATCAAAGGCTATTTTTCAGATGCAATTGCTAATCAGTTTGCCCCATGATAGGGACCAGGCAAGGCCTTCTCTCTCTGTCTTAGGTGAAAGCAGCTAAACTTGTACACTGAAAAGGCTGCTCCCTGCATGTAAGGAACTGCCAGGTGCCTAGTTCTTGAACTCCAGCTCTGGATGACACTGTACCTCCACTGGTTTCAGGGTAGCTCTTTCTAGTCAATTCTTAAGGAGAAACGGCCTGTCTTGCTGTCTGCAGCTGTGAGAGTGGGTGGTTTGGACAAGGAGACAGGAACACCCCTACAGCCGCCCGGAGCCGTGTATAGCCGGCTGTGGCTACGGGCTCGGCAGTGCCCCCCCCACCCCCCGCCGGTGCTGAGTCCCCGCAGGAGAGCCCCACTCACGGGCGAGCTGCTGCTGGTGCCGCCTCCCGCGGGAGAGCCTGGGCCCCGCCGCCATGGCCCCGAGCTTCGGCGCGCCGCCTGTGGACGCGCGCTGTTGCCGGGCAACCCGGCGGCAGGGGAGTCATGTGATGGCGTGGGGTTGAGGCACGTGACTCGCGGCGGCAGGGTTTCACGCGGAGGGAGGCGGTGGCGGCGAGCGCGGAGGTGGGTCGGTGACAGTGCGGTTGTCGGGCGGTAACGGCTCGGCGCAGGTTTGCCGGCTCTGGCCCTTTCCCTCAGGGCTGTCGGTCTGCTGCCCAGCGCCCCCGCCAGCCCAGCCCTGCCGCCGTGGCTGCTCAGCTTTACTCCTCGGCCGGGCGGTTGGCTTATGTGGCGGCGCGGCCTGCTGGCAGGGAGCTGGCCTAATAGGACTCCTTGGGCTGAGGCGGCGGTGCCCATGTAGGGAACGGCGTTAAGTTCCAGCTGAGGTGTCTCCTGTTCCCAGGGGTTTCCGTAACCCAGAGGTGCGCTGCAGGTACTGAAGTTGTAGGACAAGAGCAAGCAAACTTCGTGTGTTTGTTTGATTTCCAGATTCCCAAATGTCAGTATGTCTTTATGTTGGCTGGTTTGATGCGACATGTTGTGGTTAAAAAAACTGGCTGCATCTGTTCAGTAGCAGTTTCCTTTTGAAATACCTGTGAAGGTGTTTTGCTAGGAAAATCCCAGTTTGGGTGTGTTGGCAAGTGCTGATGGAGAAACAACTGATTAGTCAAACTGATGGTGCATGTGTACTGCAAGATCGGTTCTATGTTAGCAAATATGAGTTACAATGCAGCATGAGTTTAGATACTTTCACTAATTTAAACAAGCTTGATACTGACCTAGAACTGTGATCTTTACAGACTGTTTTTTTTTTTTTAGCTTCAGCAAAACTTCCCATAGCTGTAGTGGCCATAAATAGTTTACTTTGTTTAGATATTTGTCCTCATTTTCTTGAAACAGATTTTTTCCTCTTCTGAGCACAAGTTCAGGGTAGGAATTCAGTACTTTTATTTATATAAATAATTGTCTTTTTTTTTGTTTGTTTGTTTTGGAAACTATTTTCTGACAGCAATGAAATTTCTGTTGGCTTTTGATTTTGACCATACAATCATAGATGAAAATAGCGATACTTGGATTGTGAAATGTGCTCCTGAGAAAAAGCTTCCTAATGGATTAAGAAACTCCTACCGACCAGGACAATGGACAGAATATATGGGCAGAGTCTTTGTCTACTTGGGAGACAATGGCGTCAAAGAAGATGTAATGAAAAAAACTATGACAACAATCCCTTTCACTGCAGGAATGGTAGATCTTCTGGGGTTTATTGGCGAGAACAAGGAGTTATTTGACTGCATAATTGTTTCAGATTCTAATACAGTATTTATTGACTGGATTTTGAAAGCTGCTGACTTCCATAAAGTGTTTGATGAAGTGTTTACAAACCCTGCAGCATTCAGCAGTACTGGCTACCTGACTGTACAGGACTTCCACGCTCACCATTGTGCAAAGTGCCCTAAAAACCTTTGCAAAAGGGAAGTTTTAAAAGAATTTCTAGATAAACAGTTGGAGCAAGGAATAACTTACACACAAATTGTATATATAGGTGATGGTGGGAATGACTTATGTCCGGTAATGTTTTTGAAGAAGGGTGATATTGCTATGCCAAGGCAGGGCTATACCTTGGAGAAAAAGATTTCTCAATTGGCCCAAAATCTCAGTCCTGTGGAGTGTTCTGTTCTGGCTTGGTCTTCTGCTGTTGACATTATGTCTTACTTGAAACTGCTTATAAAGGAATAATTCAAATGATAAAAGGAAACTAATGCAATTATATTTAATCTTCCTCAGAGAAAAAAAAAACTGAATGCATATAAAACCACAAAATTGTAACATTGGGCTGTTACCTGAACATATCTTTTTAAACACAATATAAAGCTGTTTATGTTTAATCTTGGCCATAGTGGGAAAGTGAAGTTAAAATGGCTTTCTGACATAGTACACCTTCCAACATAAGTGGAAAAAGGGGCTTGCAAGAGAAACTGCCATTATTCTTAGTCTTCCCCCTCCCTCCAGGCCTTTACCAAAAAAGTAACTGACCTTTTCTGTCCCACATGCATAGGGGAAGAAGTAGGATTAGTGCACAAAATAATTAAGTTCTTTACTTACAAAACATTCGGTGCCAGGAGCATGGTTCTGGAACTGTTGGCTTTTACATCCCTTCGATCAGGATAAATACTCAATTTTGTAAATTATTTGGTATGCTTGTAATCTTGTTTGAGCTGAAGATGCATTTATATTTTCAATATACTAAATATTTTACCCAGCAAAATTACTTTTTAATAATTTATCTTTTATTGTAAAGACAATTAAAAGTTACTGTCACTGACAAAAGCAATGCACCTCATTTGTGTAATGTGCTCTGGCCTGTGTATCATCAGGCACCTGTTCTTTGAAAGTGTACAGCGTACACCAGTGTAGGTGTCAGTCTTTGGATAATACCTTCATTTATTTTGTCAGTCAGACCCCTTTTCTTCTGGAGAGCAGTAGTGATGTTACTGCTCTGTTTAAAGAAAAGTCACTCTCCCATTCCCTTGCCTGCAGCCCTGACAGTGTGCTGCTGCCACTCCTTATAGAGCTAATACCAGTTTGAACTGCTGTGCAGACACCTTTGAGACAGCTTGGTGCTTTCTTCTTGTTAGGCTTCTGCTGCAATGCACAGGCCCATAAATGGTGCACGTGTATACATGTTTACATTGACTTTTGCCTATACGCTGTCATCCATATAGTATAATCCTCTTTTAACTTTGTAACAGGATTGTTCTGCCTTAAAGTAGTTTAAGGAATCATTTGTGAATATGCGATCTTTCTATCACTCACAGTGAGATGAGTCTCAAGAGTTGGGCCATGTGTATAGAGATATTAAAAAAAAGTCTCATTAAAGTTAAATAACGTATTTTATGCCAAATGTTTTCCTTCTTACAGTCCCACAGAAGGTCCAAAATGATAATGTAGTGTGCTATTGAACTGATACCTGTTCTAGCTTAAATGTCCTAAGCTTAAGTGCCTTAATAACTGAGAAACAGTTTTGCAGCACTTTGGTTGCAGATGTCTTGAGGTGTAGCTCAGCAGCCTGCAGTTGCTGTGGCTCTCTTCCCCTGTTTTGTGTGCAGCACTGTTCTTGTTTTCTTCCTGACATTTGGTACTGTCATTGCCTTCTTTTTCTCAGTTGAAGACTTTTAGGAGTTGTCTTGCCTGTTTTCAGGCTGACAGTGTATATAATTTCCTATGAATACCTACTTGTAAATGGTCCTGTTTTTATCCCATCACCTATTTCAATGAATTGTAAAAGGTTGCTTTGAATTCTCTGTTGTCTACAATGTCCAGATTAATATAGTTGAATTCTCAGGAGTGTTTCTTTAGTGATGGATATTTGGTAGATGCCTAAGATATTTGTATTGGTGATCTTACTCTATTGTCTTGTGCAAGGGCAGGAAGACAGCATCTGAAGAACTGGTAGGTCTCAAGCTGTAGCAGGTTTAAACTGTCTGATTTCCAGGCCATACAAAAGAATGGTAATGGCTGTTGTATAGTACAGCTTTGTATGGTTACTTTTTTCTTTTAAGTTCTGTGTTTCCTTCATTCCAGGTGTGCTGCTGAATGTTCCATGTCTTGTGTCCGTTTCTTCTGTGCTTTTCAGAACTTGGTCGTGAGACAGCTTGCTTTCAGTTTGTGCACAGATCTTAGTTACTTACTTATAACATAAAAACAAACATAAACCACACATAAAACAAACATAAAACACACATAAAACAAACATAAAACATTTACAAGTAATTTTTCAGCTTTTTCACTCACTTCATATTAACTGTTGTTCTTTTAGCTTTAAGTAACCTGCTTTGTAGTTTGTGTTGAGAGTGAGAAATTCATCTTCATGCTCAAAAAGGGGTGCTTTTGATGAAAGAACTGATGCAGGAGTTGAGAGTAGATTAAGCAGTCTATTTGAAATATTGGCAATTATGATTTAATAACTTCAAGTAGAGGATTGAGCTGATGCTGTTTTCCAGACAAAGTGCATGTTGGAGACAGAAGAAATTTTTCAATTCCAGTAGGTAGACCATTAAGCTATTAATGTGAGGTCTTTTTGTTCCTCTTAATTGAAGAGAGAACTTTTCAGAAGTACTACAATTACCAATTTTTTCCACATTTGGATAAAAGGGAGGGGAGATGAGGATCTTCAAATGATGAAGCTGGTTTAAGCTGGTAACCCAGCCAAAAAAGAAAGGGAAAAGCTCCTTGAAGGGACACATGTGCAGTACTAAGTGTTGCTGACCACAAGACTTGCTTATTCAGCACAGTTAAATCGATGTACCCTCTGGGAGGGAGATGATTAGGTAAGGATGTTATGAAAATAAATGCATAAGGGAATGTGTATGTGTATGGGAAACATCCTATATGGTAATGGGTCTGCTGTTGTACACCAGCTACTGTGAAGACTACGTAGCCTAAGTCTTATGTGCTGGTCCAAGGCCTAGGAGAAAGTTCTTGCTTGTCCATGGGGAGTTGATGACATGGAAAGTGCAAAACCACAGCAAAACAAAGCTGTTGGCATAGGAATGCATAAACAGACTCAGGCCTATACAAGGGAATGCTCAAGAGAAAAAAATGGAGTAGTTGAGCTAAGGGACAGGCCTGGCTTGGAGGCAGCAGGGCTACTGCGAGTTCCTGGGTTACACCACAGAACTCCAGTTTCCTGTGCTAACAGTGTATCAAGAGTGGTTGAAAAACCAAAGGCAAAGATGTGTGAAGGGTTTTTTGCTTTTTGTTTGGATCAGCTTGTTGATGCCTCACTACAGAGAGGCCAAGGGCAAGTTTGAGTCTTGTTGGGAGATTAGCATGTGAAGAAGGATAGTAGAGAAGTATGTCTGTATACACTTTTCAGTTCATGCTTCTGGTGGGTATTGCAGAGGAAGTACCACCAGTAATTAAAAGACAAAAATTGCTCTTTTTAATCTGTGCCGAGCAGGAATTCTCCTGATTTCTCCTTTTGGGTGCTGCTGGCACTTAGCTAAAAATAACAGATATCCACCTCCTTTTGGCAGGGGAAACTGCTGCCAGTCCTTTCAATTCAGGAGAGTTCTGGCAGGGTAGGGGGACCCCAGCTGCAGGATCCAAAGGATCCAAACCCTGCTGCAGGTGAAGGAGGGAGTACAGCTTCTTAAACCCAGAGGATGCTGTGTTTCAAATATTTTTTAAAGGTCTCCTTTGCAGAAAGTGTTCTGCTAGCAGAGAAGAAAAAGAATTCTTAAATTGTGAAGCATTTTCAGAAGTGTTAAAAGCCAATATAATGCTCTTCGTGAATAATTTGCTTCTGGCTACAGTCTGTCAGCACAGTTTGTGACCGTCCTTTGCTCCCAGCCAGGTTCAGGTGTTTGAGGAGAGCTCTGGCCCCCCCCTCTGGAATCCTGCCCTCGTACAGTGGGAGAGCCCCAGGAGCTTGCTGCTCTTCCCAGCATCTCCCAGTGCCCGGAGCAGCGGGGCAGCTCCAGCTCCCTGTTCGTGGCAGCCGAAGCCCTCTTGCTTTGTTGTGCGGCTCCGTACCACCGAGCTGGCGGCGCTCCCCGGGCATCAAGCTTCTGCCCCGAGTACGGCCGCGCCTTCTGTCCTCGACGCAGTGGGCGCCATACTCGGCTGCCCCGGCAGTGGGGAGCCCCGGCTGGCAGTAGCGCTTCAGACCGGAGTTCCCCGGGGCGGGGCCCGCTCATCTGGCGGAAGGGTCCGGGGGGCCGGGCAGGCGGACGGGGCACCAAAATAGACGCTGCCGCTGCGGGCCCGCCGCCTCCCGCGGCTCTTCCAAAGATGGTCACGGGGCAGCCACGGCCGCGCTCCGCCCGGGCGTAAACGCCGCGCCAGGACTGTGCGGGGCGGGCGGAGGGGCTTGGCGGAGCGGCTTTGTGGTCCGCGGGCGCGGCGAGGTCAATCCCCGGGGAGCCCTGCGGGCAGCCCCGCTTTTGTGCGCGGGTCAGGGCGATGGCAGCGGCCGGCCAGGAGGAATACGCGTACCTCTACGAGGACCCCTCTCACCCCGCCGGCTTCCTGGAGGCGTTCCGAACGTTTTACGTGGACGGGCTGTTCACCGACATCACCCTGCAGTGTGCCTCGGGGGTCATCTTCCACTGCCACAGAGCCGCCTTAGCAGCTTGCAGCAATTATTTTAAGGCCATGTTCACAGCCGATATGAAAGAGAAATCTAAAAGACAGATCAGACTTCCCGGGCTCAGCCATGCGGTACTGGAAGCTCTCGTTAATTATGCATACACATCGCAGATCCAGATAACAAAGAGAAATGTCCAAAGTCTGCTCCAGGCAGCAGACCTCCTCCAGTTCCTGTCAGTAAAGAAAGCCTGTGAACAGTTTCTGGTGAGGCACTTAGATACTGACAACTGCATAGGCATGCACTCCTTTGCTGAATATCATGATTGCTCGGAGCTAGAGAAAGAGTCCAGGAGGATATTGTTATGGCAGTTTGAAGAAGTGTGGACTCAGGAAGAGTTTCTGGATACTGGCAAGGAGAAGCTCTCTTATATTCTCTCCAGAGATAATCTCAATATTTGGAAAGAAGAGGCAGCCATTGAAGCTGTCGTTAAGTGGATTGCTCACAATGTGGAAGAAAGACTTGAAGACATCTATGAACTGCTGAGCTGCATCAGGGTAGACTTCAATAATGTGTATTTGAGGTCGGTTTTAAGCCCACAGAAAAAATGCCGACTTAATGATACTAAGATAAGGTCACTCATATACAGTGCCCTGAACCTCAATCCCAAAACTCTTTCCAGAAGACCTACAGCAGCCATGTATGTGATCGGAGGATATTACTGGCATCCCTTATCAGAAGTGCATGTCTGGGATCCATTAACCAACACATGGGTTCAGGGAACAGAGATGCCAGATCATACCAGAGAGTGTTATGGGGTCACTAGCTTGGGGTCAGATATATATGTGACAGGAGGTTATAGAACGGAGAGCATCGAAGCCCTTGACACCGTGTGGATATATAATTGTGAGAGAGATGAGTGGACAGAAGGCTGCCCCATGCTTGATGCAAGGTATTACCACTGCACCGTTTCCTTGGGTGGCTGCATCTATGCGTTGGGTGGATACCGAAAGGGAGCTCCAGTGCAAGAAGCTGAGTTCTATGACCCTTTAAAAAAGGAATGGCTTCCTATAGCAAACATGATCAAAGGTAGGTAGGCTGTTGTATGGTGTCTGCTTCAAATGTCAGTCCTTCTGCATCTGCCACTTTTTAATGCCATGGGCATGTTTAGGGTTTGATATAAGTTCTAGTGATGTCCATGGGAATCTCCTGTTAATGCTGGTGGCCTTTGCTGCAGGTCTCTACTAGGCAAATGGCTGCAAACATCCAAATACTGTGTGGGGTTGTGCTAGAACACTATAGTGGAAAGGCAAATGGTAGTCTCAGTTTAATTTTGTCTTCTTTCAGAAGTGAAATTTCAGTACAAATTAAAAAGAAATCAGAAAACTACCAGGTATTAGAGTCATAGAGACTGTTCAGTGTATATTAGACTAAATGGTCAAAGAGCAGCGGATTTTATTGTTTTAATATAAAACCAGATTACTAAGATTTTCTGTGCAATCATCTATAAAGGTGTCATCTTCATTTAAAACTTCTTCCATGCAGTTCCCTCATATTCCAGTGTATCATCTGTTCAGGATCCTCAGTTTAATCTTTAGTATGAGGATAATTAAAAGCATTAATGCCTGTTTCTAGCAGCCAACATAATGATCTATTAAAAATGTATGAATTTGGATCACAGCCTAACTAAATGGTATTATTTTGTTATAAAATTTATAAACAATTATCCGCTTATACATTTTTATAAATTAATGCAATTATTTTCAATTAATTATACGGTTTTACTGTAAGTTGATGCAACATAGTATTTTTCTACATGTGAGAATTTTTGGAGGTATCTATAACATGAAAAAACACTAATGCTCCTATAACTTTCTTCATTATTTGTATATTTTCCACAAACACTGCTATTATTCTGGGTTTATTTCCTTTAAAAACAGAAATGATAGGCTAGTACTGTGAGGAGTTACACAGTCTGTGCAGTTGTTTTATCCCTCTTTCTGTGTGAAACTTATTAGATGCTTAAAACTCCCACACTGATTGCCTAATTTTGGTCCATTTTATCTTGCCAGATCCCTTGTTTTATTTTGTTTTGTTCTCCTAGAGACAGAGTTAACATGGCTCCATTCTGTTTGTACCCTTGTTTATACAATAGTCTAACTAATAATACCATGAGAAAGACGAAAAGTATCAGAAAAGATATCCCAAGGCGCTGAATGATCTCAGCTCCCATATGAGAAAGATGAAAAGTATCAGAAAAGATATCCCAAGACACTGAATGATCTCAGCTCCCATTGTCTTTGTCTTTGCCATAGCAGTGACTTTTACAAATCTCTGTAACTTAGTGAAATACTGAAAGCAATTCCATATTCCAGACCCAGTGTGATGATCTGTCTTCAATTACTGCATAAAAATTCTGTGAAATGCTGCATGGGCTATATTACATGCAGTATGTTTCCATTACTGCAGTTTTATTTAATTGCTCTAATGCTGCTAAAATAAGGTGTCTTGACAAACTTACTTAATTTCCCATTCAGCTAAATGCTTGCAGCATAATTTCACCCTAAAATATTAATTAATGAGTCATTTGAAACGGGGTTATGGCTGGAAGTGACTGTGGATATCATTTGCAGTCTGAATATGTGCTGTGACTTTCACACTGTTTACAGGTGTTGGGAATGCCACTGCCTGTGTCCTGCATGATGTCATCTACGTAACCGGAGGTCACTATGGATACAGGGGAAGCTGCACCTATGATAAAGTCCAGAGATACCATTCAGGTAGCAATGAGTGGAGTATAGTCACCACAAGTCCGCATCCAGGTAAACAGTAATTTCTGTAACAAGTGTAGAGCTTGAGTTGATAACTGGTATCTGGGGGTATTTAAGCCCACTTCAGAGCTTCCGGCATGTTCCTAATAAAAGGAGCAATGCCTGTAAGGCAGCAAGGGCCAGAGTGGGATCATCTCCCATTTCCAGACTCTGAGAGTGAAAGACCGTCTTCACGCATCAGCTTTATAGGAATCACTATATAAATATTGAACTAAGGAATGGCTGCATTCTGTTAAATAATATCTCTATATTTCTAACTTTCTGTAAGATTTATTCATAGATGTTTGGCAAGAACAACTGATATGAATTTTAAACGGGTTTTCTCTATGTTCTACACTTGCTAACAGTAAATTTTCAAAGCAGTTCTCACTAAGTACTGGTGGGCATGTCTGTATCATCTTGATCTTGCTTTTACCAAGTTTAGCAGGGAATCCTGAGGTGTCTTCTGAGCTCAGTGAAGAAACTCAGCTGCCCTCACTGGTGCCCAGTGTTTGTCAGGTAGCTGTAGTTCAAGTTATCATTGTGATGCTGAGTTGAACTGTATTCCTTTTTTTCCTGAAGAATATGGATTGTGCTCAGTTACATTACAAAACAAGATCTATTTTGTGGGTGGACAGACCACGATCACAGACTGCTATGACCCAGAGCAAAACAAGTGGAAGCAGATGGCTCACATGATGGAGAGAAGGATGGAGTGTGGCACAGTGGTTATGAATGGATGCATTTATGTGACAGGAGGATACTCCTATTCAAAAGGAGCATATCTGCAGAGTATTGAGAAATACAACCCTGAACAGAATACATGGGAAGCAGTAGGGAATCTTCCCAGCGCTATGCGGTCGCACGGCTGTGTCAGTGTGTATAATGTGTAAACATTTAATTTTCATGTTGCTGTTACAGAAAACAGCAGATGCAGTATCCATAATGGTACTGAGTGGCTCATGAATGAGATGTCTAATACGGTCTCTTAATGCACATAATTTTAAACACTAGGTATAATTTGTCTTTGTTTTAAACAATTCAGTAATACAAATATGTTAACAAGATTTCCATATATTTTTCAGTCCAGTCATTCTTTTTCATGAAAGTTTTCAAATTACTTTCTTGTAATACTTTGTGCAGCTGTATAGAAACTACTGTGAAAAACAGATCTGTGTTCATTGATCACTGCGTGGAACTATGATCTGGTGCTAAGGTGAGTAAAGCCAAATGAAATACTTTGCATTTCTATGGACTGCTGAGCTTAAGATAAATCTTTAATACTCCAAAGGTAGCCATAGGAGTGGTTCATTGCCAGAAGCTAAGTGTGTGGTATGTACAGAGCAATATTACTTGAGTAACTGGGTTATCACATCCAGAAATCGGGCAGTTACATGATGCCTCTAATCCTACCTTCAGATGCCAGAGTGGAGAAAAGCACAGGCTGGGAATGAGGGAAGAAATGTCGTACAGTAGCCCCAGAGCACAAGCTGAAAGTGTGCACTAGTTTTCCAGGAGAACAGTGCTCTGCAGTTCAAGGAAGTTTGAGGAAAATGCTCACTTTGCCCTTCTCACACTGCCAGGGCCTGTGAGAAGTTAAAGACTCTGCATGGCTTTGCAGTGGACTCTTGGGCTGATGCATAGGTATTGGGGATTCCTCCCATCCCCCCAAAAAAAGCCTTACCATGGTAACTTTTTTTTAAATCAAAGTTAAAATATGTCTTTTTATGGAATGGAAGGAGGAAATGAGAGACTGAATAGTTGCTAATATTACCAGGTTACCAAGACACAA